ATGAGGCGCGAGCATTGTCCTGCATTAGAATAACACCTGGGCCAACTGTACCTCATAGGGGCGTACCTGTATTCAAGAAACCCCGGACAATCCCTTTTTGCGTCAGGGGAGGTTGATTGGAAAAATAACAGGAAAAAAAAGAGAAAAGGTCTTTAAATTGATGAAAAATTATTTATGATAAGCAAAAGAATTTTAAACCCGTAATAACTGCGTAACAGAATGAACATCATAATGTAAACTTTTAAACGGTCACTCATCCCTATCACAAGTGCCATACTACCAGCTACGCCAGGGCGTATGACTTTGTAAGAATGCAAGGGAGAGTTTTAGAACTTGGCCTATGAGTACTATTGTGGCCCTTGTGAACAGAACTTGATGACAATTTGCTATTTTCCTTTTCTGTTAATCGTTCTTTACTTGCTTAGTTACATAGCTATATGTTGTTTGACAGGAGGTCAATGACAAAATAATCATGTTATTTATACAAATAAACTTTATTTAGATAAATACAACAAAATAACAGTTTTCTGGAACAAATTGTTTAATACAATTTTTTAAAAAACAAGAGGGCCATGATGGCCCTGGATTGCTCACCTGACACAACCGCATCCAAGCAATGTCTTAAACAAGCATCATGACCAAGTTTGATAACAACTGAGTCAAACAAGTGACCACTAGTGTGTTATAAAGATTTTTCCATATTTGGGCAATGTGACCTAATTTTTGACCGGACACGACCCATATTCAGACTTGACCTAGAAATCATCAAAACAACCTTCCTGACCAATTTCCAGGAAATTTGGATCAAAACTGCAGCCACTAGAGTGTTAAAAAGATTTTTCTATTTTTAGCTCCTGTGACCTAGTTTTTGACCAGACATAACCAATCTTAGTACTTGACCCAGAAAACATCAAAACAACATTCTTGACAAATTTCCAGAATATTTGAATCAAAACTGCAGCCACTAGAGTGTAAACAAGCTTTTCTATTTTTAGCTCATGTGACCTAATTTTTAACCCGAGATGACCCATCTTCAAACTTGACTTAGATATCATCAAAACAACCTTCTTGACAAATTTCCAGAATATTTAGATGAAAACTGCAGCCATTAGAGTGTTATCAAACTTTTTCTATTTTTAGCTCCTGTGACCTAGTTTTTGACCTGAGATGACCCATCTTCGAATTTGACCTAGATATCATTAAAACAATCTTCCTGACAAATTTCCAGAATGTTTTAATCAAAACTGCAGCCACTAGAGTGTTAACAAGCTTTTTCTATTTTTAGCTCCTGTGACCTAGTTTTTGACCGGAGATAACCCATCTTCGAACTTGACCTAGAAATCATCAAAACAACCTTCCTGACAAATTTCCAAAATATTTGGATGAAATCTGCAGCCCCTAGAGTGTTAACAAGCTTTTTCTATTTTTAGCTCCTATGACCTAGTTTTTGTCCAGACATGACCCATCTTCGAACTTGATTTAGATATCATCAAAACAACATTCTTGACAAATTTCCAGAATATTTAGATGAAAACTGCAGCCACTAGTGTTAACAAGCTTTTTCTATTTTTAGCTCCTGTGACCTAGTTTTTGACCGGACATGGCCCATCTTTGAACTTGACCTAGATATCATCAAAACAACCTTCCTGACAAATTTCCAGAATATTAAATTTGGATGAAAACTGCGGCCACTAGAGTGTTAACAAGCTTTTTCTATTTTTAGCTCCTGTGACCTAGTTTTTGACCCGAGATGACCCATCTTCGAACTTGACCTAGATATCATCTAAGCAACCTTCTTGACAACTTTCCAGAATATTTGGATGAAAACTGCAGCCCCTAGACTGTTAACAAGCTTTTTCTATTTTTAGCTCCTGTGACCTAGTTTTTGACCGGAGATGACCCATCTTCAAACTTGTCCTAGATATCATCAAAACAACCTTCCTGACAAATTTCCAGAATATTTGGATGAAAACTGCAGCCACTAGAGTGTAACAAGCTTTTTTCTATTTTTACCTTCTGTGACCTTGTTTTTTACCGGACATGATCCATCTTCAAACTTGACCTAGATATCATCAAAACAACCTTCCTGACAAATTTCCAGAATATTTGGATGAAAACTCAAAACTGCAGCCTATAGAGTGTTAACAAGCTTTTTCTATTTTTAGCTCCTGTGACCTAGTTTTTGACCGGAGATGACCCATCTTCGAACTTGACCTAGAAATCATCAAAACAACCTTCCTGACAAATTTCCAGAATATTTGGATGAAAACTGCAGGCACTAGAGTGTTAACAAGCTTTTTCTATTTTTAGCTCCTGTGACCTAGTTTTTGACCGGAGATGACCCATCTTCGAACTTGACCTAGATATCATTATAACAACCTTCCTGACAAATTTCCAGAATATTTGGATGAAAACTGCAGCCTCTAGAGTGTTAACAAGCTTTTTCTTTTTTTAGCTCCTGTGACCTAGTTTTTGACCCGAGATAACCCATCTTCGAACTCGATCTGTATTTTATTGAGACAAACATTCTGACAAAGTTTGATGATGATCCAATCAAAACTGTGACTGCTAGACTGTTAACAACCCAATTGTTGACGACGCACGACGCACGACGACGCACGCCGGACATAGCCCCATCACTATACCTCACCTTGACCACTTCGTGGTCAGGTGAGCTAAAAATGTAGACTAAAGAAAACAATAATTACATAAAATATTAAAATTTATCAAAAGTCAAACATGACACTTATAATACAACACAAATGTGACAAGAGTACCAACTAGGTTGGGCAAATAACGCCCAAATGCAAATTTGTTTTAAGTAGTCAAAATTTTGAAGTTATAGATAAAAGAAGAGGCCCATTGTTAGTAGAGAGATTTATAACTATAAGTCAATGGTTATGGCATTTATCTTTTGTCGAGATAAAGTATGTTTATACATGCCAAGCAGCTATGTTCCTGTCACAATAACACTAACGATGACATGTATTCTAGTGGAAAAAGGGGTTAGTTTGTCCACGTATATATTCTGACAGTAAACAACAACAATGCTTGGGTTGGAAGGATAACAGTATCCTACAAATTATATTACACCAGTTCCATATATGGCACAAAAGCACAAACTATTACGCCCTAAAAATAAAAATCCCATTTACAAATATTTTTATTACCTCCCTTTACATTAATAACACCAGTACCCCACACAGATATTCTTCATTGTTCATGATTTATACAAAAACTACATGCTAAATATCAATGCTCTTCACATAGTAGGTTTGGAGGAAAAGACGTTTAAGGCATGTTTGCTATATAAATCTTTGTATATGTAAATCACGTGTTCCCACCCTTGAGTAGAGCTATTTTTTATCAGAGTGATGACTTTTGCAGTTTTTGTAGGGTTCTTCTGGGCAATGATTGTAGTTATACATAAGAAGACATACATGTTAATAAGTTTTCCTATCTGACCCCTGGGGGATACCCATATCGACCCCAGGAGCACGATTAATATCACTTTCGTAAAAGTTCATATGGCAATGCTCCATTCAATATCAAAGTTGTAACAAAATATTTTGAGGAACATGAAAATGTGTTGTTTTTTTTGAGGTTTCAAAAGAAAAACTGTGGAAGTCAGTGGAAAAACTCTGCAACTTAAAATATTTGTAATTCTTCTTTTGAACATTTACCAGAGGTATCAGAAAACAGATACAGAATCTTTACACCTTTATAAATATCAATCCATCAATTTTAATTAGAGAAAGACTGCCCACAAATAGGGCATAAAATATTGTCACATCTAACAGCTGCATGTACTCACAACATGTCTTATTCATGTCCAAAGTTTTGTTACCTTACCTTGTTGATAGAGAAATTTGTAATTTACCCTCTATATCACAGCAGTTAGGCATTTGCATAGTTAAGCCACTGCATCGTTCCTGGGCAGTCAAGCAGTTTACCAGTACTATTTATCTCCCCTCTTTCGCAAGGAACTGATAACACTTCATTTATGCCAGAGCAGAGGTATCATACAAATGACCGTGAAAACAATTTTATGACCAATCACAACCAAAGTGACCTTAAATCTTAGGGAAACGAACCCAGGTCACCTAACATACCTTTAAATTTGATCTGTTTATACTGACATTCACAACTTATTTGTAATATAGTGGATTTACATATTTTAAGTTTCATCAGTTACCATAAATAACATTGTTTTACTTCAAAATACTTAAATCAGATACACCTAAAATCTCCTTAATAATTATAATCTGTACAGAAATGTCAAAAATTTAAATTTTGCTACAAAAAAAACAACATTTCGAGTATTATAGTTTGGTAAATAAAGGGAAGTAACATAATAGTAAAACTAATACATAGGAATGTAACATATAAATTAATTAATACAGACACTGTACTCTCCCTTTGTTATAGACCTATATAAGCACTTTGAATGAGTTAGTGAGACCCTAGGAAGGCCAAACGTGTGATCTGCATATCTTCTCATTATAAGTAACATTCTACAAACCAATTTAATTTCCTTCCATAGGTTCAAAAGATACAGATCAAACTTAAAAATTTTGAAATTCATAAATAAAGTGTGACCTTGACCAGAGAAAGGGAAAATATGCGTTCTGCGCATTATCTAATTATAGTTTACAGTTCGGTCAAGTAGTTTTAATTTAAATAAATACAGAGCAGACACGAAATTGCTAACAGAGGGATAACATGTGCATACCATTTTTTCACCAAATCTTTTCAAGCGTATAAAAATGAAACCTGTGAAAAAAAACAACAACAAATATTCTCTACACAAGTTTCACAAAATATGATATACCGAAATAACCGGCCACTCACTTGTTTAAGGAATTGTTTTTGAAACACCAACAAAATTCAATATCTTATGTAAATATATTTTTTTTTCATCGTTGTAAAAATCATTTTTTTAATACGTTTTTTCAATTAGGAATTGGACTTTTGCTTGTTGCTGTAGAAAATGGTGATAATAAAGCAATTACAGAGTGTTAAATCTATATTTTAGGATGAAGAAATGAATTTACTCACAAGCAAGTTTTACGTCAAATATTTTAAGGATTGCTCCGAGAATGATTCATAACCGATTTGGACAAAGACTTGTGTAGAGTTGTAAATTATTTCAATTATCGGTAGGAATCATTCGGTATATTTCATGGTTCATCAATTAGATATTTTGATAATGATGTAATTTCCATTACAAAAATCATCTTAATATAAATTTACATGTAGTTTCCACTTTTCAAAATATAACCAATACAATTTCAATATCACATAATTTTGATAGTACTATTTTAAGTGTTCAATTTCAATGTGTATTTATATTTGAAAATTATCCGTCAGAAAATGACCTGAATATGTACACATGATCAAATCATTCACCATCTTCATCGTTTGAGTGTTTTTCTTCCACAACTATATCAATATCAAGTCGGTTATATCGTTCTTTTAAGAGAAGAAGTACGGGTAAACACAGAAATACTGATCCAACCAGGCACCAGTTCTCCCACATAGTCCCTGTAAAAAAATCAAACTTTTTGTATAAACTGCATAAAAAATAATTGAAAAAAGTTGACAAATGTTTCACTCACATCAATTTTGAAACCATTTCATAGCTTTTAACGTAACAAAATCTTTATAATACCTTTAACAAAAGGTTTATACGTTTCTAACCCACTTAAAATCCTAAGTTAAAAAAAGAAAATACATTGGATTTGCAATACAGAGGTCGCAAGTTCAATCCTCGGACAAAGAGAATTTTTTTCCATGAGTGATGATCCCGGACAACCTCTAGTGGTAATCTGCATCTAACCATTTATTCAGAAACAAGGTCCTGAATGTACATAATCAACATTTTATGCTCAAGTAAACTACATGATAGCATGTAAAACTGGAGTACTTTTAATAACAATAGTGCATGCATCTTATTTATATGTTTTTTTTTCATAACATCACAAGAATAGTGATATATTTTCAATCTTATTGAGTGTTAAGGTAACTAAAACTGCCATGACCTAACAAAGATACCCAGGAACACCATTTTGTCAAGAGGATATTATAAAGTTTCATATTGATAAATCGTACTGAACTAAAGTCCTGCTTTGGATAAAGAAGAAGTATGAAAATTAGAAAAGACAAAACTCCACACAATATACTTTTTAATTGTAAGTGTATCCATCCATGAAGTTTTTTGTTGATATCTTCGATTCTTATAAATTTGTTATGCTCAGTAAAAAAAAATTCAGAATGAAAAGATTCAAAATCAAGTGATTTGAAAAAGTTGAAGACTTTCTTTATCTTGAAAAGTATCTTGATGTCTCTTTGTTAAACACCCCTGTCTTTTTGCATGAGAAATCATGGCAAGTCAGGTAGGTCTCCTGAATGCTTAAAATGCAATTGGCCTTTGGAATAAAAAATGTGCAATTGGCCTTTGGGATTCCAAAATAAAATTAAAAAGGTCATTACTGGGAAAAAATGCATTATCATTTCCCTCCTAGCACATCTACATTTTTGTATAAACAATTCAAGTGAAGTGAAACAATACGTATCTTGTCACTTCATATAATTATTATTTCCTATATGTAAGAATGTGCCTACTCATTCACATTTGATATAAGACATATCTTATAATAACTTTGCCTGTTATTCTTTCGGTCATTCATCTTTTTTTACATTGATATTATTTGTGTGCATTTGCAAAAGCTCATAGTTGACATCATTTATTTTGCATGCATTTAGTGTAAATAACGTTTGTTTGCTTGTCTGAGTATAAATTAATGTTTTTTCTTGAAGTTAACAATATTTACTTAATTGTACAATTATATATGTATCTGTAACTTTTTTTCTTTTCAATAAAAAGAGGATATTGATTGTCGGTTTAATACTGACTTTATGTAACAAGTTGAATAAAAATATATTATGCAATAGATAGATAAATACGGAATCCCTAAAGAAGCCTCTGGTAGTTTCACAATAAGAGTGTGTTAAACTTTGTTTTCTAGTTTAAAAATATCATAACCAGAGTTCATATATGAAACCTCATAAAGGTTTCTGTAACATATAATTCTATATATCTTTTTACCACTGAGTTTATTTCTCTTTTTTTACATATTTTTGTATTAAACTATGGCTAATTATTCTTATAAAATTAATGAAGGTAAATAAAATTTATATAAGAAAGATCAAAATGAAAAAATAACTTAAGAGTGCTTTTGTTGTTTTTCTGCTTTTTGGATATAATTTGAGAACATTCAACTTCCATTTCCTTCAATTTATATTCTAAATGTAAAATCCTCACACATTTTAATCATTTCTATTTCATTCAGCTCGGCAGGAGACTCTAAACACGTCCAACGAACTCAGGATTTCACAGAATTAGTCCTGGGTGCAGTACAATTCCTGTTTACCAAAAGACTTCCGCAACACGTAAATGTCTAAAATCATGTTTCCTGCCATCCTGTTTTAAATGACTTAAGAAATATGTGATGACTTACGAAATGTTTTTACATTAAAATCCAGAGAAATATGACAGATTCAGCATGTATCAACTGGCTAATAGTAAAGCGCAAAAGCACAATTAATACAGGTGTAAATTCCAGTAAAAAAACAACCATATTTACCTATTGGAAGCAGCTGTACGCAAAGAAACAATAATCCTGCAATGTTATTCACTAAAGTCAGAACGAGATTTGTAACCCCTTCTGCCACTGGATACGTCACTTCACATGCCATTTCAAAAAACAAGGGAGATGCACCACCAAGGAAAACATTTGCAATGATGTAGGTAGAATATATCACAGCTGAAAAGCAATAAACCAACTCGTTTCCTTCAAACATTCTTGGTTTATACAGAATTTATTTTAGCTTGATTCTGTAGGAAGCTATTAGCTTATAAACACACTTTCAAATCCATTCCTGGAACCAACCAGTTATGAGCAATTAGTGTAAATAAGTAACAAAATTCTTGCTCAGAAAACAACGACTTGCCCCTGACGGGGTTTGAACCCATGCGGTTAGCGATCATTAGATTACTAGTCCAATGAGTTAACCACTCGGCCATGCCGCCACTTACATTCTTATATCATCAACAATTTGTATAAACTACTAAATTTCACAATTTGTATCAAAGAGATGATGGTCTAAACCAACTATTTTATTCCAAACTTTAACTGAAAATATTTGTGCCTGTAGAGAGAAAGTATAATATCATATTCATATTCACTAAACCATGTTAAATATAAATTTTCCACAGTAACCTTTATTCTTCTGATAATACATGTATACCAAAGGTTCTATTACTACCGACACTAGGGCCATTACGGTCCTTGAAAGCTCATTTAAGATCCATTGCTGGATAAAGTTATAATGCACTAGTTCTTCAAATGCACAAGTTGGTGATTGGGTCATATGGAGGTGAGCCATTTTTCACAATAGGTCCATGTTTAATGCACTTGTAACTTAAGCTGTGGCAATATAGGAAATGCTTTGTGCAAAATATCCATTACAAAATTCTATAGACAGGTTACCTTTATATGACACCTGTACATAAATCTGTACCCACTTACATACATGTATTTCTATTTTAAATAAAAGTTATCATCTTACATTTACATATTCACACATTTCTTTCATAATTACAAACCATGTGCAAATCAAGAAATTGTGTATCTTACAATTGTTAGTGTAATGTACTTTATAACAATTTGATTGAGTTTTTTTTTCTATTTCTGTTTTAAGGATGGGACAGCTAGATTTTGTCACACAGGGTGCAAACTTGATGCCAACAATAGATTTTTTTTAAACGACTGCATGTATTGGATCACTTCTGAGAAGTTCTCTGTCATCTGTCTGTCTGTCTATCTATCTGCCTATCTGTCTGTGCTTACATTTGGATACTTATGTGGGTTCAGAAGAAAGATTGACACATTTAATATGAACTGTAAAATTGTAGCATAGAAGTAAATTTTATTTTGCAAGTACCACTACCGTCCATGAACAGCTAGGTTTTTATCAAACGGAGCCTGCATCATTTTCAATTTTACAGTGTTGGGATTCTGTTTGTCTCTATTTCAATATGTTACTTTAGTTTATATAGTATTAAAGCTTAGACTAAAATCAGCATTGAGATTATGATTCTATATCATGTTTGATTCAATCAAGTTGAATCCTTTTTGAAAAAGATTTCTTAAATTGTTATCAATTATTTTTGCTTTTGTTCATATAAATTTCCTATATATAAAAGGTTTTTATCTACCTTTAAGTTTGTTTTCATTTTTTCTTGATAAATGGCAATGGAAAGAATGATGATCCAGTCAGAAGCACTTATCACAACAAAATTACATGAAAATTGCAGACTTGGTTTGATTGACTCTCTACATAATGGGGAACAATAAAAAAGTGCATCATTCTTCACATTCCCTTAGAGCATCAGCATGAATGGTACTCAATTTTCAACACTTAAAGTGCTGGAATTATTGAGCCCAAATGACCAGAAATATATAACAACACTGAAATAATTAATTTAATACATTGATAACTAATAACTACTTATATTAACTAATATTCATATTAATTTCATGTTAATAGTGCAGGTCAATACACTATAGGTCTTACATTTTCATTTTTATGCCTGTTACCCTTCCCTATAACATGTAACCCTTCCCTATAACATACAAAAATATATTTATGTAAACTGTCTTGGATGACAGGACAATGATATGTTCATTTCAGAGGTTATTAACTCAAAGAATATGCTTGCATGTACAGGGATAAAATATTTGAGCTAAAGACATTAACCTGAGCATGTACATGTTTATGCCCCCACAGAGTGGGAGCATATAGCGTTGCACTTGTCCGTCCGAGTGTCCGTCCGTACGTCCCGAAATCTTGTGAACGCAACTCCTCTTATACCGGATGGCAGATTTTGCTTAAACTTCCAGGGATGAACAACCTTAATGTGTAGATGGTAGAAAAGAAAGGAATTTTCGCTCTGACCAAATTTAACAGAATTATGGCCCTTTGTTGATTTTTTCACTATATACTATGTAGAAATTTTGTGAACGCAACTCCTCTTAAACCGGATGGCAGATTTTGCTTAAACTTCCAGGGATGAATAACCTTAATGTGTATATGGTAGTAAAGAAAGGAATTTTTGCTGCGACCAAATTTAACAGAATTATGGCCCTTTGTTGATTTTTTCAGTATATACCATATAGAAATTTTGTGAACGCAACTCCTCTTAAACCGGATGGCAGATTTTGCTTAAACTTCCAGGGATGAACAACCTTAATGTGTAGATGGTAGTAAAGGAAGGAATTTTTGCTACGACCAAATTTAACAGAATTATGGCCCTTTGTTGATTTTTTCACTATAAACCAAATATATATGTTGTCAGTGGGGGCATCTGTGTCCTTTGGACACAGTTCTAGTTTCAACTCAATATTTCAAGTGGTGATCAAAAGGATTGGAATTCAATTCTGAACATTTGTAGCTTTAAATGTTATTAGAAAGGTCTACAATAAAGAATAATATTAATACGGCATTGCATTCAAAGTGTTTTAGTCAATCAGAATTAGCCACAAATTGTTAAAAAGTTTTATTATTACTATTATAGGGTAATTATGATCTGTAAAAAATCTTTCTTACTAATAATATGATGACAATTGCCTCACAGAATATTTCTAAAACAATCATTGCTTCAGTTTTTATGTTTTTCTGAAACGAGTTTTGGAAGATTTCAATAAAAAAATCTTTTACATAAGGATAAATTATTGACGTGTGTTTATATTAAAAAGAAAAATAGAAAATAAAAATCTCAGAGGGAACATATGTTTCCTTTTTTATCTGTTCAGGATTGAGTATTCAGGAATATGTTTATGATAGAATTTATGTAAAAACATTTAAGAAAATTAATACATTTATTGGTACACTTATAAAAATAGCATAACAAGGGAGTACATCCAACCTTTTGGTTGTTTATGTAAATGTTAAGAGCACATGGACAAAGTGTCACTGGTATTCAGTAATTTAAAGGAGCTTTATAAAGCTTTTAGTGAGGCAAATATTATTACTTTATATTAGCACTTAAACATATATGGACATACTTGTTTTTGAAATTAAAAGGCATACTAATTTGACTACTCCTGTTTTCTGTTGATTGCCTTTATTTGAAATTAAAGTACAAGTATTTTTATTTCATTAACAGTTTTTGCATATATATAAAATGTACTTTTCAAAGTGTTTATTTCAAAAAAATTATTTTATTTAGATCATAGTAATTAATATCAATTTTTCTTTTAAAGGTCCTTATCTTGTACCAGAACAGAAGTTTCACCAGAATAGTACAGAAGCTTTGAATTCCAGGTAAAAATTTATACATTATATTCCTATATTATGTTTTACTGTGAGTGAGTTGGTAATTATGTATGCACATTTATATCTTTCTCGCAAAGAACAAATAAGTAGTGGTAATATAAAGTGGGACAGCTTTTAGATGACCCCTAGTTTAATTAAGCTTATAATTTGAAAGGTCAGTAAGTCAAAGGTCAAGGTTATTGTTGTGTTGACTATTAAAAGCTTGTCAAGCCGATAACTAGGGAAAGCTTTTGCCTAAAGTCCTAGGATTTGGTTTGTAGGTTTGTCATGATTAGTACATGACCCTTTAAAATTTTGAGGTCATTTTGTCACACTGGTCATATTGGCACTATGTGTAAAATTCTTGTTCAATAAATCATTTGTGTTTGTTTGATTGGGTTTCGCCATACCGACACATTTTAGGTCATATGGCAACATTCCAGCTATTGATACATTCCGTAAGTGGAGATGCAAAAATAAATCTATATACCCAGAGTGAAGATGTGAAAAAAGACAAGAGCTGTCAGTAGGACAGCAACGCTCGACTATTCTTAGTGCTTGATAGTAAAAAAAAAAGACTTGATACAGTTACCTCCTCCTGTTTACAGGTTGGGGTAATGATGGTGAACAAGTGTGCAAAGTTTCAAAGCCATATGTCAATGAACTTTGAAAATATTTGAGGTATTACAAAAACTTTAACATAAATTCTAAGTCCAAAAAGGGGCATAATTCTGTCAAAATGCTTGATAGAGTTACCTCCTCCTGTCTACAAGTTGGGGTCATGATGGTGAACAAGTGTGCAAAGTTTCAAAGCCATATGTCAATGGACTTGGAAAATATTTAAGGTATTACAAAAACTTTAACATAAATTCTAAGTCGAAAAAGGGGCATAATTCTGTCAAAATGCTTGATAGAGTTACCTCCTCCTGTCTACAGGTTGGGGTTATGATGGTGAACAAGTGTGCAAAGTTTCAAAGCCATATGTCAATGGACTTTGAAAATATTTAAATTATTACAAAAACTTTAACATAAGTGGTTACACCGACGCAGACGCCGACGCCAACACAGACGCCGACGCTCGGGTGACTGCAATAGCACTACTTATTCTTATCGAATAGTCGAGCTAAAAATGAGTCTTTTCAGTACATTTATATCTATGAATATTAATTTACATCAGCACTTCGAAATAACCAACTTGTTACTTCAGGCATGTTTATTTAAAAACATAAGCTTGTTTACCATCAGTATCTGGTACCACAGAGATCAGAGCCAAAGTAAACAGAAGGAAACAGCCACCACCAACAATGTACAAAGCTATTAAAATCCATTTCATGTGCTTGGCAAATATATCAGCACCCCTAAAATTATAGAAAAAAACAAAGGAACAAAAGGACCCTGATAGGCATGGGTTGCACACTTATGTTCTATACATGTAGCTTGTAAAGTCCTTAATTATTCAATGCAGAAATAGATTATTAAATCAAATTGATGATGGCCATTTTTACCCTATAGCTATATATGAGCCCCGTCATGACAAAACCAACATAGTGCATTTGCGACCAGCATGGATCCAGACCAGCCTGTGCTTCCGCGCAGTCTGATCAGGATCCATGCTGTTCTCTAAAATACCAACTCTATTACAAGTAGAAAAACTGACAGCGAACAGCATGGATCCTGATCAGACTGCGTGGATGCACAGGCTGGTCTGCATCCATGCTGGTCGCAAACGCACTATGTTGGTTTTGTCATGGCGCGGCTCAAATATCTCATAATGGCTAAATGCTCACATAATATCTCTTCAGAAAACTATACAACTGATAACCTTTACATAAAATACAGCAGAGAGAGCAACCACATCTCATCACCTTAATGCAGTAACGGGTTAACTCCTTATATGATATAATAGGAGTTAACCTATAACTGCACTAAAAACAATTAAACATCACTCCTGAACACATTGAGACATCCTACACACAAAATGTTAACCTGACACTTGATATACTGGTCTGGAAATGACCTATTTAATTTAAAAAGTCAAGGATGAAAAAAAATATTTATAAACCTGATATATAAGATTAGGACACTGATAAATTTCCTACCTTGCTACAACAATACAGGCAACACATGTACCTACAACTCCATAGAAACCAAGCCAGGCTGCCTCTGTCTATAATTTATGATAAAAAGAGGTATAATTAATATTATGTATAGACTAGGAGATATCTATGGAAATGAGAGTTAGGAAAACAAAACAGTCATGTACTTAGATAGAAAAGTAAACAATTAATAGTCAAGTAGAGATTGGTGTCCCAAGACCTTAAAATTTGACCAATGTCAATTAGAGGTCTCGGTGACATTTCCAGAAGTATCACCAGGATGACCATGAGGTGTATGAAGTCCTAATAAGATATCAGATGCATCTGATTACACTTATTTTCTTTTTCTTTTTCAATTTTAATGGAATATAACAAATAACATGTAGAAAACTGTTCCCTATTTGCAGATGATTATGACTATTTTGTGGAATGCAAATATTCCTGAACATTTAGCAAACAGTTATCTGACATTTGCTTTTTTCTCAACACTGAACAGCAAATAACCCTCATGACCAAATGGTAGTTTTTCAAAATGTTTGACAATATTTAATGTCTAATATAAGAATCAATAAGATCTTTGGCATGGTAACTGTTTGCCGCTCAGCATGCACTATTTTTCATTTTACAATGATGGAGAAATAACATATGTATAGCAGTTTTTCTACTCTGAATTGATGAAGAAATGTTTCATGTGATTCGTTAAAATTATGTAATATACCACATAATATGGCCACCCTGATTATACTTAAGCACAAAAATATGGTTGATATTTTTTCTGACTTTTGAAAAAGTGAGAATTGTTCTACTATCACAACTCCTGATGGAAAATGATAATGATACATTCACAATAAAAAACACAATATAAATAGATAATCAAACTGGTTATACTTGAGATATGTTATGATCTTTGAGATTGACATCTAACACACCATTAAAACATCCAAGGATACCCATTGAAAGTCCATATATGAAGCAGATCAACCAAAATGTACGATTTCTAAAATGAAAGTAATATCTTATAACAACATCGAGCACTGTATATTTATTTGAAATATAGTATAATAAGTTATATGCTTTAATTGAAACGTTGTTCATTGTAACTGGTATTTTTGTTGAATAAATATGAAGTCTAAGAAGCTTCTTTGCAGAAGGCATTACTATTATAAGGAGATATTATGGAAGACATCCAAGCAGTCTGCAAGGTATTAAACTGCTGGTAGCTTATCAAAATTTTGGTATTTTAACACTGAAATCCCTTCATCTAAATATGGACTGTTCCAAAATCAAAGATGGAACAATACTATATACAAATATAGCAATTTATGGGTTAATTAAGCACCAAATATAATCCAGAATTGGACCGGAGACCTTAAGTGCATACTATGAAATACAATCATATAAAACTCCTTTAAAGTAAATCACCAATTCATTTTGTAATGATAACTTATAATCATTCATATTGATCCATATATTGTTGTTATGTCTGTCCAATACATTGGTCTATAGAATACCCTATAGTTTGCACATTGGCAAAGCTAAATCTTATGATATCATGTGTTCAAAACAATATATTAACTTATTCTAAACAAAAGGAAAACTGTACCAGTAGTTTTACTGAATTTGTACAAGGGTGGGCCAATATGTAATGCAATAAGAAGTATATTTTCTTATTTAGCTTGTGATTCTTGTGTTTGTATAAGCTATGCTATGCTTCGAAGTATTTGTTTACAAATGATACCAAAATAATGTGTGTTGTCAACCGATTAAGAATTTTATTCACATTTAAAAATACCTTACAGGGTAAACATGGTAAACGCTCTTTTAAAAGTTCTGAAATATGGGCTTCCATAAAAGCAGAAGTAAAACAACGAAAATCTGCTGTATTTTTTTATAATGATATTTCTAATATTTATGCCAACACTGAAGTATTTTAGGTAAATGTTTTAAGGTGGATGCATAAATTCAAATATGTGTACGAGTAAATTAAAGATGCCTATAAGTCTGGTAGAAAACGCTCCTTAATTACTGACAAACACATTCATTAAGTCAAGCTTATCATTGACAAAGATGCCAGATTTCCATTTATCCTGATAGCTCATAACGCAGGATATCAAAAGGGTCAAACCCATACGAATCTGAGAATCACTTAAAAGTAAGGCGAGTAACTGCCAGTCATGCAGATACCCTATTTGCTAACATTGCCCACAAAGTATTGCCAAAAGACTGAGAAGTGTCAATAAACATAGATGTATGCTATTTTTTCAATACCCGTGGAACTATTGTCAAATTCCTGTTTTAAGAGGCCTTTCGGAGTGTCACATACAAGTATTATATAGATGTCGCTTTAAGAAAATTAAAAAAATCATACTTCTATGAAGTTAGTCCTGCATGAGACTGATATGAAAGGCCTGTATTTACTGCATGACAATGCTCCCGCACACAAGGAGCTACTGTAATAGAAATTGACTTGGGTCGACCATTTCTCAGTGATTTGAAATATATACCTAAAGAGGACTATGTTGAAGCATTTAAAAATTGGATTAAATGTCTGTAAAGTTTGTATTTCTGAAGGAGGAGATTATTCTGAAGGTGGAAATAGAAAATTGTAAAACTTCTGCTATTTTGATAAATTTATTGACCATATTGCATTGTCACTATAATATTGACCCACCCTGGTCCTATAATGAACTTGTTCAGAATTTATTTTTTTTTATCACAATTGAAATTTAAATAATAATTCAAAATATCTAAACAAATAAAATTTAAACATGCATTATACTCACCCTAAAAGTTTCAAAATTCCTAACTTAAAGTCAAGCCTGACCAAAGATGCTGTGGGGCTTGGAGGAAGTGGTGGTTTGGATGGGAAATATGTAAAAAACAACAAGAAACAAAATCCTGAAAATCCGAATGCTGAAACATAAGAAAAATAAATAAGACAATTAAAATAAATCAATATGAAGAGATCTGATATATAAATGGAGACAGAATGCAGTTTTAATGCTCAACTGTTAAATAATCTATTTATGATAAGAGTTAAAACGGGGCATAACTTAAAAAATATAGCTTTCAGAATTATGTTCCTTGACTAACATTAATGAACCTTATGATAATAGGGAATTATTCCAAGTTTTATGTTGATGACTTTTAAAGGTTTGAATAATGGGTTAGATCAAAATTGTTGCATGACCACAACAATGGTAACACAGCAATCACAATACCTGTAGCTAAAACTAAAAAAAAAGTATTTTAACCCACTTAAAACAAATCAAGATAGAGGTATCTTTATGATTATAATATAACCATTAATGGTTATTGTGTACATATGACTGTATGTTGTAATCATATGAAGTTTTGAAAGTTTTGGCAAACAATACTTCAGTAAATTAGAAGAAATTATTTAATGTAAAAGAGCACTCACCAAGCCCAGTCACATCAAATTTCCATGTAACAGTGACTTAAAATATGGTGCAAATTTCTTTTGATTTTGCAAGAGATAAATAAGTTACTTTGAGAATACTAGTACATGCACATAAATTTGCAACAAGAAGTTAGTTTTTACCTATCTGAAAAGAGATTGATATAAATAGACAAAACAAGAACAATAGGTGCTGCATTAAGAGCAAATTAAAGCAACCCTGAGTATTAATGGAACAGACATTATATATTTTGGGAATCCTGAATTGTCAACTTTGCTCATATAACAAAAGCCTTGTTGACATGACTGCCAAAACAATAAATATGTTAAAGAGAAGGATATTTCATTATCAAAGAGTTCTTTGGTAATTAAGACTAATGGCAGATGCAATACAGAAGGTAAATAAAAACACAGCTTTACAGTTTGCCCTTTTTCATGTAGTCACTTATTCGTATTTCAAGTTCTAAGTAAATCTTTTGGAAAGTTTAAAAGTAATGCTCTAGACAATAAAATAATTGAAAATAAGAAAACTGGAGATATACATTTAAAACATACTAGACATTTTATCAGCCTCTATATTTCTCATTTTTCCTGTTTACGGTATTTGTTTTCAACTTTCAAGACCATCCCTTAAATGGTCCAAGAGTTCAGTGCTGTTTCAAAAGTAATTAAATGAAATTAAACATTTAATGAGATACAAGGTCTAGATAAAATAATCGTTCCTGATCAAGGCATAGCCCTTAATTGGAATCTATCTTTATAATAAGTCTCAGGTAAATACCAGACTATAGTTTTTTAGTTAAATAATATGGCCAAAAAAAATGCATCAAATTCAGGAAATCATGATCATTATACATGTAGTATTTGTTCTTTATCACTACATCTCTCATAAATGCCATTTGTTTTTATTAATTTTTATGTTTCAATTCAATTATACATATTTAGTATCTGAACAAAAAAGATACAGAGAATTGAAATACAAGGACACTAAATAGAGTTGAATAACTTCAAGAAAGGTACCAGACTGTTACGATTCTTTTAAATTTTAATTACAGTATCTCATTTCAAACTCAAGTAATTGTCTGGACCCTTGAAGTGGACCAACCTACCAATCGACAGACCAATAAGCTCACTCCTATATACCCCCCTTAGTTTGTGGACTTAATATGAATTTGAAAATAATTCTACATATTACTTATATTACAAATTATAAATGCAATAAGATATTGATAAGTTGAAACTTACAATAATACATATACCTCATAACAGAGTCTCTTTCAGCAGGTACATCATATTCTGTACAAGAAAAAATATAGATGATATTAAAACAATTGGAGCTGCGTCACGACAAAACCAACATAATTGGTTTGCGACCAACATGGATCCATTGACCAGCCTGCGCATTGGCGCAGTCTGATCAGGATCCATGCTGTTCGCTATTAGTTTCTCTACTTGTAATAGAGTTGGTTAAAGAAAACAGCATGGATCCTGATCAGACTGCGCCAATGCGCAGGCTGGTCAATGGATCCATGCTGGTCGCAAACCCATTATGTTGGTTTTGTCGTGACACGGCTCTTTATAATACATGACATTCACTACATTTGCCTACAGTACAAAAATTAGGTATATGAATAAGTAAGATAGATGCTTATCTAAAAACAAGAGGACCATGATGGCCCTGGATCGCTCACCAGAGATTCGTTAAGATAGTAATTAAGTCACATTGGATTTGTCTTTTTTTTCCAGGATACTTAGTACATAATCTTAAATTTTTTTTGTAGATATCTGTTAAAAACTGCTTCATGACAAATATCTTAGCTTTTTGGCAATTGAAATTTCTCTTAAGTAGACTGAATTATAATTACTTGTTTTCCTTAATAAGCCTATATAAATTCAGTGACCACAGGGGCATGACTAATAAAAGTTTTGTATAGGACCACAATATTATCATGCTTCATGCAAAATACCTACATCCTGGCCATTGTAATTTGAGTGAAAAAGACTTTTACATATTTTATCTAATTTTGTAAAAATACACCTAGGTATTATTCCTGTAAAGTTTGTCAAAATCAGTCTTTAAGGCAGAAATGTTGTTTAAAGAAATTGTGAACAACAACAAACAAAGCACACACTGCCATCACATATGCTGACACTTCAAAACAGTTAAAATCCCTCATATGTTGCTCCTTATGAGCTGCTTAAGTACTATTTTTGTACATTTTTTGCCATACATGTTACTCAATATATAAGCAGGTAACAGTATAGCTTTGGGTAAGATTTTGAATCATTGCAGGCTGGTTTGAGTCTTATACTGGCAATAAAAACAGTATATGAGCCGCATCATGACAAAACCAATGTAATGCGTTTGCGACCAGCATGGATCCAGACCAGCCAGTGCGCATCCGCATGGATCCTGATAGCGAACAGCATGGATCCTGATCAGACTGCGCGGATGCCCAGGCTGGTCTGGGTCCATGCTGGTTGCAAACCCATTATGTTGGTTTTGTCCTGACGCGGCTCATATAATTATAGCTTACCTATAAACTGTACTCAGAAAAATTATGTATACATTACCTGGTGAAGAACTGTTTGAAACATTTGAAGCTGATAACAACACTCCATAACTGTCTAATAACTGCAAACTGTAATAAAATGAGACTTCATACATCTGCATGTTACTACAAGTAGAGGTTTTGATGCTAAAGCATCAAGTCGCCCAATAGAAATATGATTGTATAATCATAAACATAAGAAAATATCAGTTTAATGGTTCAAGTATAAAGAAAAGAGGAACAATATTTTGAATAATGTTTATTCATAAAACATCATATATGAAGCAAACTTGCTTTGCAATATTGTCAAGAAACTGCAAATTTTTACTAGGTGAAGGGCAATAACTCTACAGAAGTGGAATAAATCCACAATCAAACCCCAAAGTGTGAACACATGCTGACCAATATTTCTGTAAAGTTTCATAACTTTAGGTCAAATACTTTTTGGGCTATGTGTGACAAAACTTTAAGGGTCTTGTCCTAAAGGATGTTGTGTCTAAAAACAAATTTATAGCCAGTTACAGCAAAAAAATAGCAAAGTTCAATTATTTGACCTTAAAGGTCAATGTCATTTATGACTCAAGGTCATTCTGGCCAACTTTGAAGGAACATTCCAAAGGATAGTTTTGTCCAATTATGAAGAGAGTTCATTTATTCCCAATAAAACCATAGCCCCTTTTAGGTACATTTTGGGATATTTTCTAAGTTAAAAAGGGCATCATTATGTAACCTAACTATCACAGTTATGAAACTTGACAGAGATAATTTCATTGTAATATTACTTTGATCCTCCAAGTATCTAGTTAATTTATCTCTCAGTTCCTGAGATAGGATGGGATGGGGGACAAAGTGATTACTATATAGCCCCTCACCCTACTCTATGTTAGGTGGTTGTATAACAAATTTATATGTGCAAGTACTTGAGATACAAATCAATCATGTAAAGTTTCACTCATATTGCATAAGTAGTGTAAGAATAAAAAGAATAAGGAAAGTGAAACACACGAAACAAAGTGGGTCAGGTTTCTATAATTTTATTTAAGACCTACGTTTCGGCTATTCAATAGCCTTCATAAGGGTACAGATATATCAGAATTTTTCATCTAAGGTACAGTTTTGACGGTTCTTTTTGTCACGTGATCAAATCAATTTATAGAAGTTATTGTTAGGTGGTTCTTTTGTCCTTATATAGTTATTTGTATGAATAATTAGAAAATAATAATAATAAATGTTTAAAGTTATTGTGAAGTTATTGTTTATTTAATTAAAAATACCATAGATCGAGTAAATCATTATTTCCATGTGTTTTGTGTATAGAAAATCGTCTTTTTCGTCTTGGCAAATTGTTACATCTGAGATTGTATGTGTCGGCAAATTTTCGTTGGATCTAAATGGAGAGTCCGGTAATGGTGATAGTGGTTCTTCTACTGTCATTTCCTTTATCATTTGTGTGCAATTAAATTCCGGTGTAAATTGTTTGGCTAGCCAATTTTTTTGTCCTTGAACGATTCGAAATTTAGGTATAATTGTTGGTTTCGTGTTTAATGTACATTCAAAAGGTGGTTGCCATGGTTTTACTGGTTTGATTTCGTCTAAGTCAGTTGTTCTTTTCTCCGTTTTAGTTTGGTACCTGTGCATTTCCATGCCGTGTATTTTACGGCAGTGTCTTTTTAGAATGTCCCTTCTTGTGTATTCTTGATCACAATGGAAGCATATGAACATCGTAATTGTTTTCTCATGTGTCTTGTAGTGTCGGTTGAAGTTTATTTGGATCCTTTGATGAATTTATTACATTTTAAACATTGCCGTAATTTTTTTTATTTCAGTTTGAATGAATCTGCCGGTGCTGGTACTTGCTTGGAATATTTTTTCATATCTGTTATTTCCATTATTGTATTAAGTTAAGTCCGTTAGGTGATTTCGTTTTAAATAATTCAATGTAGGTTTCTTCTGTTCTAAGGCGGATGTTTATGTTCCTAGGTGTCATTGTTAGAACTGTGACGTCGAATTCTTTAATGTTGTGTCCGTTGGCGGAAAAATGTTTAGAGACAGGTTTTACGTCATTTTTATTACGTATGTCATTGATATGTCCATACAGACGTTCTCGAATTGTGTTACCCGACTGACCAATATACTGGATGCCGCATTTTAGGCATGAAATTAAGTAGATGATGCTGCTACTTGTACAATCATAAGATCCTTTAATTTTGAACGTTTTTCCAGTTGTGTTAATTTTGACATTAAGCTTTGGTTTTAAGAGAGAACATGCTATACAATTTCGGTAGCAGATATTGGAACCTGAGGGATGTGTTATGATTTTAGGATCGGAAGATCTCACTAAGATGTTCCTAAGATTGTCAGGTTTACGATAAACTGTTAAAATTCTGTGCTTCGTTAAATCTGCTAGGTTAGAATCGGTTTTTAGTAAATGTTCATATTTGTTAATGATTTTGTTAATGTTAGGTAATCTTGGGTTGTTAGTGACAATTAACGGTATTATTTCGTGTGAAGAGTTGTGTTTTGTGTCATTAAGATGGTTGATTTTCGCCTTTTTGATAGCTTCTCGTATAAGTGCTTTTGGATAGCCACGTGCATGTAGATTATCGGTAAGTAGTTTGCTGCATTCCAGAAATGATTCTTCAGTGCTGCATATCCTTCTAATTCTAAGAGCTTGACTGTAGGGTATACTTTTCTTTTGGTGTTTCGGATGGAACGATGTGTAGTGGAGGTACATGTGAGCATCAGTAGGTTTAGTGTATAGTGTGGTGGATAAGTTCCCATATGTATCTTTTCTGACAGTTACGTCTAGGAAGTGGATCTCTTTATCGCTGATGTCAGATGTAAATTTTATTGTGTTGTGTTGACTGTTTAAGGCCATGATGAAGGAGTTCAACTCCTGTCGAGAATGTGGCCATATCAAAAAGATGTTGTCTATGTAGCGCCACCAGACCGATGGTGTAATTGGGTACGTTTTTAGGAATTTTTGTTCAAATTCGTGCATGAATAATATTGCTAGACTTGGTGCACATTTGGTGCCCATGGTGGTTCCCGATATTTGTTCGTAAGTATTTCCGTTAAATTCAAAGCATGTTTTCTTTAGTATTAAGTGTAAGAAGCCTAAAAGTATCCAAGTTTTCGGTTCTTTGAGACTACGTTTTTCCAGTGCGTGTTTTACTGCTAATATACCTTCTCTGTGTGGAATATTTGTGTATAAGGCTGTGACGTCAATAGTGACAAGTAGAGCATCTTCGGGTGCATTTTTTATTTTCCTAATGCATTCTAAAAAATAATTTGTGTCTTTGATGTAAGAAGGTATGTCTCTTGATAGGGGTTGTATAAAATAGTCGACGTATTCAGATAATTTTTCAGTTGGACTGTTACATGCTGATACTATGGGGCGTCCATGGTTTTTGGTTTTTTGTATTTTCGGAAGTAAATAAAAGATAGGTGTTCTGCAATTTTTAGCAGTGAGATATTCAATATGTTTATGTTCAAGTAATGAGTGTTTTTTAAGATAGTTTAAGAAGGAGTTAATTTCTTTACATGTTTTATTGGTTTGGTCAGTGTAAATTGATTTGTATACTGTTGTGTCTCCCAGTTGTCTGTTAGCTTCTGCGATGTAATCAGCTTTGTTGAGAATGACGACGGAGCCACCTTTATCTGCTGGTTTGATTATGATTTCTGTGTTGTTTCTGAGGGTGGTGATAGCCCTGTATTCATCTTGAGTTAGGTTTGGTTGTTCCGGTGTCCGTTGTGTCTTGAGTGTATCCTGTTGTAACATGGTAAGAAATGCATCTAGATGTGCAGATTTCCCTGGTTGTGGAGTCCAGCCTGAAGAGGGTTTGAATGGGTCCGTTCTTTCTTGTGTGTTGGTGTTTTTCATAAAAAAATGTTTAAGTCTCATGCGTCTGTCAAATAATAGGATATCGCGGTGTAGTTCTAATTTATCAATTTTAAGTGGTGTGGGGCAGAAAGTTAGTCCTCTGCATAATATCATTTTTTCCGCAAGGTTAGGTTGATAGTTAGAGAGGTTGGTTACATATTTGGTGTAATTCTTAAGTAGGAGATCACGTTTGTATTTTTCAATCGGTCTAAATCGTCTATTTGGCATGATTTTGTGTATTTAGTTGTTTTCAGTGCCTAACTGTCCTTGTTTATTCTGGTTGATGGTTTTCTTTTGGTTAAGTAGTGTAAGAGAAAAATTTCTGACAACACTTTAAAACATAAATCTAATTAAAGGGGCATAACTCAGACAAAAATCATTGAAATGAAAAGTTATCACCATAATAGCACAACTTAAGTTTGGATGAAATTGCACCAGCAGATTTTGAGGAGTTGTCCAGACAAGTTTTGTGACAGGACAGACTGACATTCTTAATAATGAGACAGTACATTTACTTATATGGCTACTCTTGTTCTCTTTATTGTACTTTTAAGCCACATAAAGGAAAATAGCCACATAAATGCCTTATGGAATGAATGACATTAAAGAGAAAGTACAGTTACCTATTGTTCCTCTAGCCACATAAGTATCCATATGTAAGCTTGGAGGGACAGCACTGAGGATAGACAGACAACAGAGAAGTGAACCCTATATGTTGCTGCTACTCTGTAGCACGCAAAATATGTTTGAGTAGGGAATGCTTGACCAGTATCTTTAATAATTTAGATTTCTTTTGACTATAAAAGGTGCCTACCAATAGACGTTATCCGGAACTAGGCAAATGTGGTTTTTTCCCCAGCTAATCTGTAGGTACAAACTAACTTTAACTGTTAAAGCTTCATGGTGCACTTCACATCACTTCACATCACAACCTGTTCTGCTTATTTTCGAAGCTGCATGTAACTGTAAAAAGTTTGTTTGTACCTACGGATCATCTGGAAAAAACCCAAATATTCTTAATTCTGGAGTAAGTCTATAGATTAGGAATGCATAGATCCCTGACCTGTCTAACTCTAATTATCAGATTAGTGGATACAGTAAGAATTTCACCAGAACATTATAATTTGTTAACAAAAGAGCATGTCAATGTTTGTTGTTTAATGTACTGTTATTCAAGGTGAGAGTAGGAATCTACCAATAAGTATTCACAGTTTGTATTGTTTTTCACAGTTAATGTTACAGTACACATTCACCTAAATATTTACAGTTATTCTAATATTAATATGATAAGATACTTGTGTACTCTACATCGATATTTTGTACTGTATTCTGTTTGTGTATACAGTGGACGTAAATAGCACAATAAAGTATTGAATTTAATTATGTTTTATACAGGTTCCGTAAAATATACAGATATAGACTATAATGATTGACACTGGTGCAATAATGATTACAATTCACAGTATTCAAATTCATTTTCTGACAATGCTTTTGATATTAAAAAAAACAACATCTTTTTAATGAAATTGAGGTCTTAATTGCTTTACGACAATATATTTTATCTTTTTATTGCATTGTTACAGCCTTACAGGTCCCCGTTAAATTTGAATATTTGGTCTCCTACATTAACTCTTTATAAACAAAGTTACAACAAGAGATGTATGCAAAGATTTTGTTACAAAATAATTCACAAAATGCTGCAGACTTATCAACACAAACTCACGGGGGGGGAATCACGTGACCTTGTATAGTAATACCCACGAGAAAATGGCGACTGCTGAGCCCCGGTAAGTACCTTATTATGTTAAATTAAGGTGACAAACATTTCTTAAATCAAAACAAAACCTAGCGTATCATATGCGCGTTAATTTTCTTCAAATGACAATACAAAGTGCATTATCCTACGTTTTGTGGTTTTTGAGAACATTGTTTGAATTGTGTGAAAATTGCACATTCAGCGATAGTAATTTGCACGAAGCGATATAATTTGGTACCAAAATAAATCAAAATAAGCTTTCTTTAGGCTCTTAAGACACCAAATCAATCATTTTATTGACATCTGTTCTTGTAGAATTCCATATAAAATTTTGTTTGAAGGTCTGTAGCCTACAAATGCTCTTTGCAAGTGTTTAGTAAGTAAAACGAACAATTTCTGGATAGTAAGTTACACGAAAACAAAATAGTAAGTTTTACGCACAGTTTCCAATAGCTTACTTAAATGTGACGAAACTATTTTATAATTCTTTTGGTTTCAAATTTGCAAGTGTGTTCCGTCTACGGTGACAGAGAAACAAATATCGAGAGAGTATTTTAATAATAATTCATATTATTTCATAATACATGTATTCATATTCATATAATTTCATAAAAGATTACTTAACTTAAAATAACTAAATGAGACATTGACATTGATACTCAACAATGTACGTTACACTTGGCCCTTTTTCACGTTAGACTGGACCCACATCCGTTATCTTTAGAACTAGATTTATAAAGAAATAACTGTGCAGAAGGAAATATTACAACACCATCATTTATTTTTCAGTATCTGCAATTTGGACCAAAAACGCAAAGGAGAAGACATTCGCCATTTCACATTGATATTTAATGCCATCATAGAACTGGTATACAAAGTTCTTATTAATTTTATTCTTACACTGGCAGATTTTATGAATAAACCCAAGAAGTTTTGTTAAAATGTTATGCATTACTATACGTTTATTTTCTTACCATGTGCAAATGTGTTGCGTCGTAAACTCTTACTTTTTGTTTGTGATAGAGTAAGTAAATAAGATATTCAGTGCGTCCATGGCGGAGTGTTTAAAGTCCCTGATTTTTATACACATGCTTCTCACCGCTATGGATTCTAGTCCGACCAGAGTCCTTGAATTCTTTCATCAAACTAGCTAACAAAACGTCGGTGCTTTAACTCAGGTGTCCCGACATTGACGGTGTGATTTGAAACCCAGCATCTAAGATTGTTTTATGTAAATATTTTTTTACTCCACTTGCCTTCATATCTTTGACCGTTTGATTTCAAATATTCGTTTTTCTTTGAATGTCCATTATGCCTCTTAAATGCTATCATTTTAATTTAAAAAAAAATGTTTATTTTTGGTATCTTGTTACAGTTTCCGAAAACATACTCATTTGCTAGATACTCAAACTATCTTTTACATCTTTGGTTCTGTTGGAAAATGGTATACCTTTAGTGAATAAGTATTTCGTATGGAAGTCAAAATACTACTTTGTTTACATTTTGCTACCTTAGCGACACATCACTTAATATAATGTTCAGTGCTACCTTTTTCAGTTGTAATAAAATACTATCATACGTTTTATCCATTATTTAAACATTATCAAACACATGTTTTGGCATTTCTAAAGAATTTAAACAATATGGATTTCTGAGGAACAATGTGCCTTTAATCATAACTTGTATCACTGTATCATTGTTGTTTGTTGTTGTTGTTTTTTTTTGTTTTTTTTTTGTAAGAAGTTATTTTGTTCTTGCGAATTCTTCAATATATTTTCATAAATTAAGTAACATAGTGACTAAATGTAACAAATACCGCCATATAAAAACATCGATCAGCATTCAGTTAATAAACATCACCATACCAATTAACAAGCAATTATATTTGTTCATTACAGTAAAATGAGGGCCAAGACACACCTGAAACTGCAGAGGTCAAAGAACTACTATCGCCACAGAAAAATAACACTGAGCCGTGTAATATCAAATCCCATCAAAAGTTCATTTGATATATTATAATAGCAACCAATTAAGCATTCGTCCTATAGACAAAAATGTGAAATATTTGATCTTGCATAATTGAAATAAGTATTTTCTATCTCTTAACATATGAACTTTAACTTTCTTTTAATGTATATGTATGCTAATGGAATCTGTGCGTGAAACTTACTATTTTGTTTTTGTGTAACTTACTATCCAGAAATTGTTCGTTTTACTTACTATACATTTGCAAAGAACATTTGTAGGCTACAGACCTTCGAAAATATATTTTATATGGACTTCTACGATAACAGATGTCAATAAAATGATTGATTTTGTGTCTTAAGTGCAGAAAGTAAGTTTATTTTCATTTATTTTGGTACCAAATTATATCGCTCCGTGCGAATTACTATCGCTGAATGTGCAATTTTCACACAATTCAAACAATGTTCTCAAAAACCACAAAACGTAGGATAATGCACTTTGTATTGTCATTTGAAGAAAATTAACGCGCATGTGATACGCTAGGTTTTGTTTTGATTTAAGAAACGTTTGTCACCTTAATTTAACATAATAAGGTACTTACCGGGGCTCAGCAGTCGCCATTTTCTCGTGGGTATTACTATACAAAGTCATGTGATTCCCCCCGTGAAACTTATATTCACACTTCAATGCCTTCTGGCAAATAAAGTGAATATCAATTGGTCATGAACAACAGCATTTTTTATAGAGGGCCACTTAAGGATATTTCTTGTGGAATTTGGTCAAAATCCATAAAATGGTTGACCATAAATGGCTGACCATAAAATGGTTGAGTAGGAGATGGTGGATGATGATGAATATGAACAACTGACTGGGCTGGTGGCCTATGAAGCAATAAAGATATTGTATTGTATTGTATTTATTGTATTGTATTGTAACTGACAATAAGCACACTGCCATCAAAAAAGCACATATCTGAGCATTTGGTGCTCAGGTTAGCTAAATACTAATAGCATTATTCCTTCACAAATGATTGAGATAACGGAACGTCAGTGGTGCCTGAAATAATGCATGGAAGGGCACCTGAGGTCTTCCTCCACCAGTAAAGCTGGAATGTTGCCATATGACCTAAAATGTGTCGGTATGGCGTAAAACCCAATCAAACAAACACAAATGATTTATTGAACAAGAATTTTACACATAGTGCCAATGTGACCAGTTTGAGAAAATGACCTCAAAATCATAAAGGGTCATGTACTAATCATGACAAACCTACAAACCAAATCCTACGACTTAAGGCAAAAGCTTTCCCTAGTTATCAGCTTGACAAGCTTTTAATAGTCAACATAACAATGACCTTGACCTTTGACTTACTGGCCTTTCAAATTACCGGGTAAAAGGGGTCATCTAATTATGGCCATGGGCAGTGTCCCTCCCACTTTATATTACCACTTTTTATTTGTTCTTTGCGAGAAAGATATAAATGTGCATACATAATTACCAACTCACTCACAGTAAAACATTAAACGAATATAATGTATAAATTTTTACCTAGAATTCAGAGCTTCTGTTCTATTCTGGTGAAACTTCTGTTCTGGTACAAGATAAGGACCTTTAAAAGAAAAATTGATATATATTACTAACTTTGATCTAAATAAAAACAAATTTTTGAAATAAACACTTTGAAAAGTACATTTCTTATATATACAAAAACTGTTAATGAAATAAAAATACTTGTACTTTAATTTCAAATAAAGGCAATAAACAGAAAACCTACAGGTAGTCAATTTAGTATGCCTTTTAATTTTAAAAACAAGTCTGTCCATATATGTTTAAGTGCTAATATAAAGTAAGAATATTTGACTCCATTTAAAGTCACATAAAGCTTTATAAAGCTCCTTTAAATTACTGAATACCAGTGACATTTTGTCCACATGCTCTTTACATTTACATAAACAACCAAAAGGTTGGATGTACTCCCTTGTTATGCTATTTTTATATTGAGTGTACCAATAAATGTATTAATTTTCTTAAATGTTTTTATATAAATTCTATCATAAATATTTTCCTGAAAAGATAAAAAAGGAAACGTATGTTCCCTCTGAGAGTTTTATTTTCAATTTTTCTTTTTCATATTAACACACAATCATTTATCCTTATGTAAAAGATATTTCTATTGAAATATTCCAAAATACTTCTCTTACAGTTTTTCAGAAAAAACATAAAAACTCAAGCAATGATTGTTTTAGAAAGCTTCTGTGAGACAATTGTCAATATATTATCAGTTAGAAAGATTTTTGACGGATTATAATTACCCTATAACAGTAATAATAACAAGTTTTGGCAAATTCTGATTGGCTAAAACACTTTGTATGCAATGCCGTATTAATGTTATTCTTTATTGTAGACCTTTCTAATAACATTTAAAGCTACAAATGTTCAGAATTGACTTCCCATCCTTTTCATCACAACTTGAAATATTGAGTTAAACATGTATATGCTCAGGTTATTGTCTTTAGCTCAAATATTTTATCCCTATACATGCAAGCATATTCTTTGAGTTAATAACCTCTGAAATAAACATATCATTGCCCTGTCATCCAAGACAGTTCACATAAATAAATTTTTGTCTGTTATAGGGAAGGGTTACATGTTATAAGGAAAGGTTGCATGTTATAGGGAAGGGTAACAGGCATAAAAATGAAAATGTAAGACCTATAGTGTATTGACCTGCACTATTAACATATCAAAGCACAGAAGGCAATGAATTTGTTTGGGTCTCAGAATGTCAGAAAGGTGAAGGTTGTAAGACTATAAACCAATTTGTTTGTAAAGTGTCACCAAATTCTGTTTCCAGTGTTATAACTAGTATAACTATAGTGGTTTTAAGACTAATAGCAACACTGTTATTCAATTCAATGTTTATTTGGCTTAATCAATTAAAAAAAAAAAAAAAAAAAAAAAACCTCTTGTTTCTAAAGCGAGCATGTAAACCCCTCGACCACAGGGAGTTATAAGATAACATCCTGAAGAATGCGTTAAAATATGTTAAATGATTAACGTTCTCTTCGTTAAATCTTTAAAAATACTCACAAGTCAGGGTACAGATAAAATTCGTAAACTCACCTGAAAGCAGTTTGTGTGTTTCGATTATTTTATAGTTTTAATGCTAACATTTATATTTTGCATAACTTAAAAATTTAATAAAGTTTCTATTCTACGATATAAATAAAGATTTACTAACCTAATGTCCATAAGTATCAATATAAATACCAATATGTTAGATAAGTCAAGCGTCAGAAAATGGTTGACACTGACATCTTCTCACAAGATCCGGTTGGGGTTCAAATCGTTTATATACTGTGGAAGCAGTTTTTATAGTTTCATAGCAACTTGAACTTGAACTTGTAACGGGAGACTTTTCAATGAAAACAGCCATTTTTCACAAAATGCTCATGCAGTAATGGGTTAATACTATATAAACTAAAGTAACACATTGAAATAGAGGAAAATAAGAATCCCAAAGTAAGCCTGAAAAATTGAAAATGATGCAGGCTTGGTTTGATTGAACCTAGCTGTTCATGGATGGAAGTGGTAATTCCAAAATAAAATTAACTTCTAGGGTAATAGTTACCTATGATTTTACAGTTAATATTAAATGTACTCAGGTGTTGATCTTTCTTAAAAGTGCTAATGTAAAATGTTAAATGCAACCATATATACTACTCCAAAGTATCATAATTTTGTTCTTTAACCAAACAATAGTTATGATCAAAAATCAAATAAAGTTTAATTTCCACTATGTATATCTTCAAATAAAGAGGGTTTAACAAAAAAGTAAGTGGAGCACCATGTGGTCTAATGGTGGTTTAAATGTCTTTTTTATCAACCAAAGAGTCATGGATGTGAGCCACATGAAGTCTACAGAACAAATGACATCAAGGAGAAAGTACAGTTATCTTTTCTTTCTGAAGCTACATAAGTATCCAAATGTACGCTCAGACAGACAGACAGATAGACAGACAGATGACAGAGAACTTCTCAGAAGAACTCCCTATATGCAGTAGCTACTCTGTAGCAAGCAACACAAAATCTTACAAATAGAACATGTTACAAAAAAGAAAAGTCTTAAAAAATACAACTCTTACATTCTCTAACTTTTCAACTGGTGACAAAATTGTCTGTAACCTTAAAAAAGAAATTATAAAAAAAATAACTACAATCAAAATTGTTTATAAAACATTACAGAATAATGTAAGTAAAAATTTCATGATCTGCAACATGGTAAGAACAATTATAAAGAAATGTTAGTGAATTTTATATGTAAGATGATAATTTAACAGAAAGAATAGTATTATTCAAATCTCTTAATGATATCATTAGTGTACAGGATCTTCTGCCATCAAAACATTTAATATCAATATTTGTATTTAATTTTTAGCTTTTTAATTCATTTTTTAATTTGAATATTTGATTTCAGTAAATTGCGTGACACTTAAATAAACAGAAAAAGGAATAATGTTGTTTTCTATAAGTACATATTTACATTGAATATTTCATTTATAAGTATATAATAAAGAGCCCAATTCATAACAAATATTTGAATAATTTCTGACAATGCATACAATCTGTATTTATGTTAAAAACTTTATTACAAGAATAAGATGGTACTGTAAAAGGGAGGGGTATACCATGCAACACTGCAGACAGGGAAAAGGAAACAAACTTGCATAAATTTATCAATATTTAAGTGATCTTTATCTATGGTACTAGCATGATAGTATATAACAGAAGCTAGGTAATTATCAATCTCCTACGCAGTGATCTCCCCTTATCAGTACAGAGATCTCTGCCATCACAAACATTTAAATATCAATATTTTGATATTTTTTAGCTTTTTAATTTATTTTTCATTATTTTGTATACTTTTGATATTTTTTTGATAAAATATAGCGGACACAGGTGCAAAAAGTTAAAAATAAAACAGAAAGAGAAAAATGATGTTAGATTTTCTATGTAATGGTCGATATTTACATTTGAATTTCGACGTTATGTCACGTGACTTTCATCATCATGTGATGTTTGTGAAGGCAGTGATTACAATTCTGCCAAGGGAGGTAATCACTGTGAGGAGTTTGGGTAATTATGGATAGGATAACATTCATTATATAGCAATACCCAGAAGGAATGACACTGCCAAACCAAGTGTGTTTGTTACAGTTGCTATGGCAGTGGCCGTTGTTCTCTGCTCTGGTGGGAACCATTCGGCAGATAGAGAAGGTGGCGCCCCCATTGCAATAGGTCCGGCAAGGCCATTTAAAAACTGACCAAAATGAATCAGTCTGAAAAGGAATACATGTATCATTTTCATATTATGTTTATAAAGGTTTGTATTTTGTTTTCAAAATTTTAATTTTCTTATATAATGCATATTCTGGCTATCCTACTCATTAATTATTGTCAGCTTGTTAAACAAAGTGTATATAATCGAGCCGTGTCACGACAAAACCAATATAATGGGTTTGCAACCAGCATGGATCCAGACCGGCCTGCGCATCCGCGCAGTCTGATCAGGATCCATGCTGTTCGCTATCAGTTTCTCTACTTGTTATAGTGTTTGTAAGTGAACAGCATGGATCCTGATCAGACTGCGTGGATGCGCAGGCTGGTCTGGATCCATGCTGGTCACATTAACCCATTATGTTGGTTTGTCATGACACGGCTCAAATATTAATTCACATGCAGTTATACTTTAAACTCTTATTTTGGTATGGTTGAACAATTGCCCAGTTTCTTTCTAGCTGTTTCAAGTTGAAGAAGATCTTATTAAATTTCTCATCCCTGCAATATCTCAGACATGGGCATGCATGGCCGGAGAAGCAATCATGTTTCATTGGATAGATTTATCAAATGTAAGATTTTAACATCCTTGCATGGTTTTTTTGAATGGCATTTAAGTGTAAGACAGAAGATCTAGCAGATTTAAAAGATTAAAGAAAAAATATCTGAAAGATTTTTCGGAATAGAGTAATAAACCTTCTGACATATACTGTGGGTAATAATAAGGAACATATATTTGAAGTTTAAAATAAACACCTCAAGAAATAAAAAAAAATTGTTTACAAAAATTGAACAATTTTTAAGTTCAAGGGGGTAATTCTGAAAATATTCGTGCTAGACTAATAAACATTATCAGATATGTAGGTGATGATAAGGGACATATATTTGAGGTTATTCCCTTCAGAAATTAAAAGTAAAAGTAAAAAATATTTTTTTTGCACAAAAATTCTGATTAGTAATCTGAACACAGACATTAGCACCAGGGTGAGTAGAGTAAAATTTTGAGTCGCGTCACGAAAAAATCAACATAGTGGGTTTGCGACCAGCATGGATCCAGACCAGCCTGCGCATCTGCGCAGTCTGATCAGGATCCATGCTGTTTGTTATCAGTTTCTCTACTTGTTATAGGGTTGCTAAGCTAACAGCATGGATCCTGATCAGACTGCATGGAGGCACAGGCTGGTCTGGATCCATGCTGGTCGCAAACCCATTATGTTGGTTTTGTCATGACACGGCTCAAATTTTATTGAGACCATCTAAAGCATCAGCCTGGAAGCATTAAATTTTATAAACAAGAGCCACCACAAATTAAAATTTCAACAATGTCTTGTCCAAAAGATAGTTGTGTTCAAGTATGAAAACAATCGATTCATTTACATACAAAGTTACAGCCAATTATAGCAAATAATGTAAAATTACAATAATTTGACTATCAAAGTCAAGGTCATTTATGGTAATTCCCTACCAGCAGCCTATCTTTCTATCTAAATAGAAGCCTCGCTTCATAGATAAAGAGGTTACAAGTTGCTGGACTATATAGGAATTTTTAATCTATACTTTTGAATTATTTCACAGTGTTGTATCTTAAATATAACTACTATATTGTGACTTTTAAGAATTTAATAGTGTATTTAAGAGTGTTAATTCAACCTGATTATTTATGATATATGATAATTTCATAATCATTTGTATCTAATCAAACGATGGGACTAGCCCAAAGAAAAATTTATAAGATATTTGTTGTACATTTGCTCGGTACATGTTACACAATGTCCATAAGGTAGTTTATGCTCATATATGAAGACAATCAATTCATAAATAAACATAAATAAACAAAGTATAATTATTATTTAAAAAATCAAGCAATATTCACTATTTTGATAGTCAATGTCAAGGTGGACACCAGATGCAATATTTTCACGAGTGGTGTAGCCATAAGTGAAAATGATTAATAGCTGGTGTTCATGAGCGAAATTTCAATCGTAGTACATGCAAAACAAACAAATTTTCTATTTATTTCATGATTTTTAAGTGATTTTTAAGTCATTTTTACTTGTTTTGCCATGTAACATCATGTGTTCTTCTTCATTACGTCATCACATCATGATGTCACCGTACCAATGTTGAAATTTAGTTCTGTAAAATTTCTTGAGTTTTGTTACAATTTTAACACAATATATGCAGTTATTAACTTGCTTCTCCTACTAAGGAAGCAAAATTTAAATATGACAGATTTTATTCTTTAGCTTTGAAATATTATTTTCATCCGCATTCAAATATTATTTGGCTACAGCGAAATTTATCAAGTAAAAATTATCAATCATAATTTCACTTCCCACTGCAAAGTATGTAATAAAGTCTAGCTATTGTGAGAGTTATACTTTATATAATGTCACTGTAAAATTATCAAAATATAATCTCACTATAAATTATCAATTGTAAATCACTGTCCACTGAAAAGCATTTAATAAAATACATTCTCATGCATCAAATTGCCTTACTAACTCAATTAAACTTAATTTCAATTTAATCACAAACAAAAAAATAAATTTATCCATTTGATTTATCAAATACATGGCAAAATCAACTGCATGTTAACAGTACAAAAATTCTGCTCTACAAATTATCATAATTACAAGTACATTGTTATTTACACATCTTTTAGTTTGAGTCTGTCAGGCATTACTGTATGAAGTTAACACTTGTTTATTTGTTTTTTTTGGGTGGATTTTAAGCAAATCTTAACACAGTTTTGGTCATATCTCAGCAGTTCTTCTGCCTAAGTGACTTTCTTTGATAACTAACAGGTAATTAACAATGCCCCCCCCCCCCCCCCAACTAAATAAGAACTACATATCCCATATTACATGTATGACCATTAGACTGCCATTGATATTATTTGTCATGGAGAAATTTTCAGGATCAAACCAGGGGTAACAAATCCTCTAATCATCTCCCCTGCAACGCAGACAGAAAATTAAATTCAACAATAATTCAAATGTAACATTAAACATGTACTTTGCATTCATTGCAAATTTTGAAAAAAGGGTAATTTCAAGGAATAAAACACTTGAATAAATATTTTATTGTTAAAAAAATTTAAAAATACATGTATGTCTTCTATAAATCACAGGTTAAAGATTCTTGAAACTATAGCTTTTAGGATTGCACATAAACAACTTCCAGAGTTCATTAACATTTAACATTTCTTTGTTTTCCTTTTCTCACATTATATTCACTTTTTGCTGTTGTCTGAAAGTTGTATGAACTTTGCTGTTTCTAAGTTAAGGTACTGTACTTTAATAAAAGGGCTTGTTGATGTTTTTCTGAAATTTTGACATTTATAAGCATGAGATATTGTCATGATCGGAAAAGGATTGAATTTACTGCAATCCTATATAGCACTGCGTTCAGGGAGTCCATATTTTCCCATCACAAAGATATAGGAATGCCATCAAAATATAGGATTTTTCAAGGAACAAAATAAAGGAAATCATAGGAATAGAAATAACAAGACAAAGTAAACCACTGTTCGATATATTTCAAAACCAAATTATACATTGTAACTTAAACATAATGAAACAAAACTGTACCGTAGCATATAAAATGAACAATGCTGAAAGTACAAAAAATATCTTTGATTTAAAGTATGGAAGAGATTACATGAAGTACTTCCTGTACTTAGCAATACAAAATGATACAGGATTTCAAAACCTAACATGTTACATAGAATTTGAAACTCCCTTTAAAATAATAAGAAATACATTTTAAGAAAATTTTCATTATTTTGAATGGTGCCCTAAAAATAATTTTCATCTTTAGTAAAAAAGGCATTTTTTATTATGTCTATTTACCAAAATAGTAATGCCCTACTTGAAACATAAAAAAACTTTTATACTGTTCTAGAATATGATTCCATAAAACATTTCAAAGTATCAGGTATATTACAATTATTGATATACAAAAAGCTTAAGAATGATTCAACATAACCTTCTGAGAAAGTAGTTGAACTATTCTCAATGTCTACTTAGCAAGATTGCTTTGAATGAACATCAAAGAAGACTTCACTTCAGGTATAGAATTTATTGTTATTTTCTCTTCTTGCCTTGAGGAGGCACTTTGTTATCTGCAGAGGAGACAGTTAAAGAACTGTCTTTTCCAACATCTGTCTTTTCCCTTCAATCTACCTCTTTATATTGTACGTTCCCTTAAAGATCCTTTTTCTTTCCTTAGTTTTTCAATTTTAAAAAAGGGCTATAGTTAATCATTTGAGCAACATTTGCACAAGCTTAGAATTTCCCTGACAATAAGATTTCAGTGTGCTTTAAACAGTCTTCCTCTTTTGATAAATCTTTTCTAACATTGAAACATTTTTTTCTTAATATACATGTAACACTTTTTTGTTATTTCAGGAATTTAATACTGCATAAGAATGATAGTTTTTAAATGTAACCTGCAAAAAAAAAAAACCTTCACTCGTCAACTTTGAAATATTTCAGAAGTATGTTTGTTTGTTATCTAAAAAATATTCATTTATTTATAAGATAAAAACAAACTGGCTGAGCTGGGCATGGTGACCATACCCACAGGAATGAAGAAATATCAAAGAGGTATTCAGAGACTTTTAATAAATTTATTCCTTCAAAACACCACTTTCCTTGCTTGTAACACACAAGAACTTTTTCCAAAAAATATAGGAATTTATAATAATATTATGAATTTTGGCCAATATATTATATATAGGAAAATATAGGAAATTATAGCACAATGGTCAAAATACAGGAATATATAGGAAAATATAGGAGCTGCCAGTGGATGCCCTGTATATTCTATCTGATACATTAGTACATAAAGTTCTTAAGTACCTTAATGAATATTTGCAACAGAACAAAATTCCACTGATAAAAGTAAAATTCAATAAATAAAAAACTACTACATACGGAGTTGCAACAGAAGACTTGGAAGTAATGCATCTTAAACCGGTTCCAGCAGCAACCAAAAATGCACTGAGGACACAAGCTGGTCGTAAACCTGAAAGAAAAAATTTTGGGTTGAGGAATATATGAAAAATTGTAAGCTTTGGTTTAGCAAACACAGGGGCCATGATGGCCCCGAGTTGCTCACCAGAAACAACTGCTTTTCAGTAAAAGATAAAAGACTACCGAAGAATGCTACAGACAATGTTCGGTGATCATCCATCAATCAGTTTGTAGAAGTAGACTTTTAAAGATATTTCTATTTTAAGCTTTAGGGGTCAATCATTCAAATGAATATGAGCAAATTTGATACAACACTACCTAAGAATACTGACCAGACAAATTTTGGTCATCATCCACCATTTAATGTATAAGTAGAAGAAGATGTTTAAAGGTTTTTCTATTTTTTTCTCTGTTGATCCCTAAAAGGGGCCAAATGAAATGACATAAGCAAATTTAAGTGTGACTGTCACAAGGATGCTAACAGACCAAATTTGAGGTAAATCTGCCCATCAGTTTCAGAGAAGAAGATGATTGTTGACACATGACGCTGGAAGCCGGAGTTACTATGATCCCCCTTTGATATCAATAGCTCACCCTGAATCTTCTGTTTTGTTGTGTTAAAAAAAATCATGATTACCTTTTTTTCATATAACTTTTTATGTGCCAGAAACTGGCCTGAATAATATATTGATCAGTGTACTGAAGATCTAGTTATACATTAAAAAGGAATGGATATAGTTATGAGTTTAGGATAATCCATTTACTCTTGCCTGCAAAAATTCTTTTAAATATCTAAACAATCAATTAGACACGAATAAGCTTGACTTTTCCTTATTTCTAAAGTTTGACACACTAAAGAAAGAATATTGTAGTAAAGAATACTCCCCAAAAAAATGTTTATTCAAATATCATAGTTGACCTTGAAGGTCAAGGTCATTCAAAGGTCAATGTCACATTTGAATTAACATGTCAGTTCTGTTAAATGTTCCTTTTTCTGAAATATATACATCAACAAATAACAAAGTTATGACAATTGAAGCGAATTTCAGTAATGGGACCTTGACAATAAAGGCCTGAATTAAAGGCAAGGTCAATTTTGTGCTCACACATACACAAGCACCCATACCAGGTAAAAATATATACCTTCCTTTGCCATTGCATAGAGAGGGTTATAAAAAAGATACAATCTAACCTATTTGCATGATCCTTAAAACAAATCTTAACATACCTTTCACATCAAGTATCCAAGAAAATGCAAAAGTCCCAAGAAGGTATGAAATTGGTCCCCAGTTTGTAAGTAATGACAGTCCAGCTGTATCCCAGCCAAAGACACGTTCACCAACAGCAGAGATAGGGCTAAATGTGTTCCACACAGCGCACTGGGTCATTGCCATCATACCATATACAAACAGGATATACCATCTTCTCTTATATACCTAGATAATAGTAAACTGTTGTTTAAAGTGACATTATGCTCTTTTTTTCATTGTTGAGATTAATTGATTTTATATTTCAAAAGACTGACTGTTATAATGGTGACTCAGACCAACTTTCACCTGTTCTCTCGCGATGGGGATAATGTCACTTTAAAAGACCATTTATAAGAAATATAATTGTTTAATAATCCCCCTACTTTTAGTCCAAATCCCCTGCTTTTTAAAGCTAAATCCCCCTATCTGGGTGGCTGGAAATATAGACATATAGGCAAAATTAAAACTGTTCAATAGAATTTCTTTAAACTTGGCATATTGTTAGAATATGATAACAGAAACATTTTAAGCAAAACAAAAATTGGGGTCACCGTTCTCTTTTTGAGTTATCTGCCCCTGAATCAGACTTTTCTACTTATTTGAGAGCACAAAAACTATATACTTGTATTCACTCTGGGTAAACCCAAAAGAACATCAACTCAATTTTTAGAATAATCACATCTACCTGATTTTTATACATTCCTGACATTGAATTTCTCTATATATCTGATATTTTATAACACTGACGAAGATAAACGAGAGTCCAACATTGTAATTGTTAAATAAACCTTAAAACTTATCAGTGTTAATAGTTTTTTCCACTTGATTAATTATCTTTAATAAATTATAATGGTGAATTAATTAACTAATGAACAGACCGTGACAGTAGGAAAACAATTTGTTCTTTTGGAAAAAGGAAGATACATAATACTTGTATCATAGTTTGGGGACCTTTCTGTTGAAAATGTGTCAGAGTTAAATCGTATATATATATACATGCACAATGCGTTAACTGGAGTGCAGGTATTAGTTACCCGCACTGCAGAGCATGCCCATTGATTGGTTCATTTTGTCTGAGGTTTACATATAGTGACGACGGGGAAAGGGAAAGCCATAGAAATATAATATTCAGATGCTCGTCCATTGGTTCCTTTTTTCTGGGGTTTCATATTGTGACATCAGGGAACGTGTTTTTATTTTTGACTATGATACAAAAGAGAAAGAACATCAAAACACTCGGCAATCTGATTTATACTCGGGGGCTATGCCCCCTGAAAACAAATCAGATAGCCTCCTGTTTCGATGCTCTTTCTATTACATATAGCATTCAGCCCTCACCTTGATGTTCAGTTCTTTATCCTGAATCTGTTGAACCTGACTATACAAATCCTTGTTTTGTCCTCTAAAATCATGACCGCCATCTTGTGATTGCTGGACTGTTCCATATTGAGTACGGGTTTTGTCTATTATCAGCGACTGTGATTCTTCACCATCGGACAGCGTCATGTTTAATAAATCTTTGTGATGTAAATCTATAACAACAATACTTTACTCATACCTGGAAATACACCATTATAAAATCATGATATTACAATTCCTACATCTTGCAAGAATCATGGGGAAAGGAGTCTTTTAAAGTCAACTTGAAGCAGTGGTAGCTGTCAGCAAAAACTTTTCGTGATATTGGTTATTCAGCAGCACAATCACTTAATCTTATACCACAGTTGTTATCTTATACCAAATTCTTGCTGAAATCTTAATAATTAATGTTTAAATGTTCAATGTCTGTATTGACAAACACTAGTGTTCAATCACAACATCATAATGAGACGTAACAGTCAGCACTGTAGATTCTAATGCTGGAGAAAAATGATTTTCAAGTTAAAGTATGAGCAACAATATAGCCTACCTCCTTTTAGGGAGGGTAGAATATCAACTTTGAATTCAAGTTAGCTTTCATCAAGATAAGAATATACTGTTTGAAAGGGTTTAGAATATCCTGTCAGAAAGGGTTAAAATATCCTGTTTGAGAGGGCATTAAAATATCTTGTTTTAGATGTCTTAAGAATATCCTGTTTGAGAGATTGCAGAATAGCCTGTTTGAGAGGATTTAGAATATCTTTTTTGAAAGACTTTAGAATATGCTGTTGGAGAGACGGTAAAATATCCTTTTGAAAAAGGACACATTATTACCCTGATTCAGTTCCTGTCCTCTTTAAAAAAGGTAGATTTAATTGCTGCTCATACCATAAAATTATCAACAAAACAAAGAAATCATATAATTATGTTTAACAAAGTCTATGATAAACATTCAAGTTTTCAAATGCTTTTATCATAGAAACTGATGTTGGAAGTATAAGTGTGTATATATATATAATATATATATATATATATATATATATATATATATATATATATATATATATATATATATATATATATATATATATATATATATATATATATATATTCACACATATCTTCACTTACGGGGCCTATTTATAAGACCGAGTTGAGTGGCATTTTTTCATGCAGTCAGTTTTTATATATGCCACTATGTAGGCATATAATGACATTTCCAAACAACAGAACTAAGGGGTACTACGTTATATATATCAACTATATATTTAATTTTACCATAGGTGAAAACATATTGACCAATAACATAAAACCCCATTAAAAATATATACATTTGTGGGACATATATCATTTACTACTAAAACCGGCCTACGGGCACTATGTTAGAAGGGTAGCCTACGCCCCCATACATCGTTTTAAACATGCCAGAGTTGCGAGGCCTTATGTATGCCCCACATTAAATATAAACCCCACAAGTATGGTCTCAAATAGACCGATGCCCGTAAATGGAGGAATGTGACTGTATATATATATATATATATATATATATATATATATATATATATATATATATATATATATATATATATATGTATGTATTCAAAAAAAAAAAATAAGAAAGCTTCACTTAAGTCTATATAATCTAAATAAATTTACTGTCAAACCAAAACAAACATAAATAAACATATCATAAACTGTCAAATCACTTGAATAATGTTGTTTTTGGGGGTTTTTTTTCTTCAAAATTTTTTTTTCAAGTAATAGGAAAAAAATAATTATTATTGCATATTATGCAATTGAAAATATGGTTATAAATTCTGAAAAATCTTTCATTAATCGCACATAACTTGTAAATTATTACTTAAATGTTGATCTTTTTACTTTTCCTAAAATCAAAGTACATTTTTCTTAAGTTTGATATTTTTTAAATATTTTGGCTCATCTTGAGGAGAATATAATTATAAAGGTATGCAATATAAGAAAATGCAACGCTCTTTGGATTTACAAAGTATGCTGACTGATATTTCTTGTCAAGAAAGATATTATCAGAGCAACAATTCTGAACTAACTAAGACAAAAAATTGAAATGCTATAGGCTAGTGTAAATCTTATTGATTGACATTAACTTTGGTAAAATATATAAATCATTATTTTGATCTTGTTATTTTTTGAAAAAATGTTTTCAAAAATATAACAGAAATATGAAATATTAGGGAAAAAATTATAGTTAAGGGGAGACAATACGATTTTGATACAATTTTCTGAGGGACCTAGGTTATTTCCCTTCATAAAATCTTTCAGTACCTAAATAATAGACATGCACAAGAATTAAAAATATTTCAGGTTTTCCTGAATCAAAGTGTACAAACAAATTTATTCGAAAATAAACGCAGCAGGTAGATTAATGTAGTGTACTGTGAAACTTTAAAAGTAAAACTTTGTTTGTACCGAGGGTATAAGCTTGGAAAAACCGACATTTGTCTAGTTACAGATAACATTTAATTCATGTATAATCTCATAATCTGTAACAAAGTGCACACACATGAAAGTGTGTCTATTCAAATTTCTAATCAAAGTGCATGTAAATAAAAAAGTAGAAAAATAGTTCACTTTAAAGTAACTGGACATGCATGTATTTCTTTATCTAAGGGCAATACTTTACAGGCATTATTCATGAAGTTTTTGTAGATACTAATTGCCTGGGGCACAATGCTTAAAACCAAACTACACTGGGATTGTTCTTTTTACATGAAGGGGTATGAAATATTTTTATGAGTCACTTGTGTTCCATTTCATGTACATGTATATCTTGACTAATAACTTGTGTGTCTGACATTCCCCCACAGAATAATTTCCCAGAATACTTATTTCAAATCTGAGTTAGTTATTATATCTCTTTACATAAATGAAAGTCATTTATATCTACATTGAATGAAAGTGAGTTATTTCTTGATAAATGTATTGATGAAAGTCAGTTCTCCCTGATGAAAGTCAGTTATCTCTTTAGATATCAAGGTGTAAAGTGAATATTTTATCAGCCCCAAGTGTCAGTGTTATCAAATTAAGATAACATCTTAACATTTCTTTCAATGGACGTAGGAAATTATATAATGTTGGACATTAAGGTAAGTACAAAGTTAAATCATCCATAACAAGACCAAAATTTAACGAATACTAACACAGATTTATACTCCATGATACCAAGTAATTTAAGAAATAAATTTTCAAACAATGCCCATGTTATCAAACTTTATCTTGTGAAATACATGGGTTACATACTAGTGATACACAAAGACAGAGTCATCAGTTTTATAATTTTAAAATTAGCAAATTAGAAATTATTTAAGATATTGGCTCATATTTTCAGTATATTAGCAATTAAGAAATTGCACAAATGGAAAACACTGCCCCAATAATAGAGCAGAAGTTAAAGCTATTATGCAGGTATTTACTCTTATTGAAGAGTAGCAAGAATACTGCATGCTCACACTAGGGGCCAAAAGGACCAACAACATCCTCAGCCATGAGGAGAAAGTTATACGCTGAAAAAGGCACTGGTGAAGCCACAGACAGCATCAGATGATTATAGAGCTGAACAGGTAGCACTTGTCAGGCTGCACACTGGCCACAACAGGCTGAATGCACACATGCACGAATATGCTGTTCAAATCGCCTATATGCTCTAGTGCCTTTGAAAATTAAAAGGCAGAACACTTATTACAAAGGTGACCACATCTAGAGTAGCTGCAAAGAAAAGCAGCAAGCACCCCACTGGAGGAGAAACTCTATGGGAATCTTGAGGTCCTCCAGAAGACTGAACATTTCATCGCTGTGGCTGGGGTAGTTGTAGAAGGGTGAACAAGAAGAAAAAGAAGCAATTAAAGCTACATGCCTCCAGATAAGCAAACATATTTATATATCAATAAAAGTAAAATTGAGAAAAAAATTTACTAAAATTTTAGAAAAGTAAAAAGATTCAAGATTCAAATAATAATTTACATGTTATATGCGATCAATGACTAAATTTACAGAATTTATTACTATATTTCTACTGTGTTACTAATGAGTAAGGGTTATTTTTGCAAATTTTGACATCTTTTTGGTAATTTATGTAGGTTTCAAGTTAATTCATAATATTTTATTTATTAATATACATTTTCAAAATTTCATGAAAATTAGCATGAATCTGGAGGAATGCTGCTTTAAGATATATGAGTCGACCCATACATGCTGTAAGTCCCGGAACGACCGGGATTGTCACAAAAATCAGCCAACCGTCCCGGAGGCATCCTGGAAAAGATCTGTCAGGGTAAAAATAAAAATTTGATAAATTATTTGCAGCAAGAACAATGTTCCAATAAATATTATGCAATTATTGCATGTTAATTATCCTATGATGTTGATATCAGACATTTTAGAAAAACATAAGAACTGTTGACACTTATCCACTGATTGATAAATATATATGTGTGACCTTTCTCGTCAATTCAAAGATTGTAACACTGAACGTGTCAACAACTGTACCATATAAATGACTCTAATGTATATTTGAGAGTAACAAGAATTTATCTATAAATTTTGAGGACTGGAAGAAGAAGGTAATATATTTGTACAGACTATTAAGTTATTTTAGGATGCATGTTAAGTTATTGATATACCAAAACCTGTGACATACTAGATGTAGTAAGCAAATCCTAAAAAAATACCTTTGCTTCCATAAATTTTCAGATCGGTATATCTTCCATTTTGATATCATGTGACATTCTTATAGTCACGTGCAAAAAAGAAATTTGATTGGTTTAACTACTAACACACGCATGCGCATTAATCTGATATTACACTTCCGTAAACACAACAACAACAACACGGAAATAAAATTCACATGGGTTTTTATATGACGTTTATTACAATATGCATACGGTGACATTAAAGATTGATTAGGTATTCTCCAATTGAAAGTGATTTTCAAAATGGCGGAGGGAAGCGAGTTGCAAGAAGATTGTGTTTTAAATTCAAAATATGTTCAGATTCCTCTGGAAGCGCTGAATTCAAGTTGCAGAAGACACATTGCTTTACACTTAAACTTAGAAGGAAGTTTAAATGAAGACGTTAATTTGATGAATGATTTCAGAGGACTGGCAGAAATGGTCGGTTTTGGATATTTAGAAATTAAGAATTTCGAGAGAGAGAAAAGTCCGACAGAGCAGTTACTTGAAGATTGGACCTCCAGACCAGAATTCTCACCAACTGTAGGAAACTTGTGGAGTTATTTGATGTCTTTAGCAAGGTTTGATGTTCTCACTGACAGTAAAAAATTCATTGGTATGTATTTGAAATATTTCATTGTTTACAGATTTTCATAATCTTTTAAAGTGAAAGGTTTTTCACACATAATTAATATCCCACTGACACCAAATGTCCCTGCTCCATTGGAATAACACAACGCTTTACCTTTTGATCAGCCCTGCTTAAATTTCCACCCTGTATTGTAAATTAATGGCAGGTCATTTCCTCTGTTATGATTTTTTCCAAGAAAATTCATTTGCCTTAAAGCCTCGAGCTTAACTTGGATGATATGGCACTTTGGTTTTTATATGGGCAACTTATTTTCCCTTCTCAATCTAGTAAGGATTGGGAGCAGCGTCTAAAACGGCAGATACTTTGTAATAATTTAGTGCATGCTTAAACAACATACAATAAATAAAGAAAATGCACTCACCCGAGTAAAGCCAATTTATTATATTTAATTATGTTGTCTTCATATTTCGATTGCAAGACAGACTGAGTTTACAAACTTTCACAGATGTCCTTCTTTACCTGTACCATCGTTTATGTAATAAAAAGCCCTGGCGCGAAGTATTTTGGGCTATTATGATATGATGCACTTAGACCAAGGATAGTTTGGATAGTGTATAAGAACAATTCTAGAAAACATTCTGTAAAAATATCATATTATAGAATTTAATCTTTTTTATTATAGAGAGAGATTGTGACAAATATATTGAAATCAAATCCAGATTTAAAACTAACCAGAAACCAATTCAGGATAGCACAGGTAATGTATAGTTATGTACAGCTAAAAATTTATTTTAAGAATTACTTTATACAACTGATAGAAAATTCAGTTTTGATAAAAAAAAAAATATTATTAAAATTTATTTCTGCAACTGTTCACTTACAGTGACATTTTGAGTGAAAGTGGGGAGTGTACAAGTAAAAGTAAAAATAACTTTACATTTTGCCAAAATTGCTTTCAATTTGATTATTTATTTATTAATGAGTTACCCACATGTCTGAAGGAAATTTCTATTAATTCTGTACTTCAGAATTTATTTATTTTCATAACTGATTCAAGATATAAAAAAAATTAATTGGATGGGTAAATTGTATTAAATACTTTTGCTCAAATTGATACATTGCTTGAATCAGTTCTCATGAAAATGGTTCAGGGTACATGTAATACAATATGGGTTCAGTATGCATTTAGATGCATTTAATGTAGAAAGATATGCTAAAAAATATATAATAAACTAAAAAGCATATCCTGGTTTGTTAATTAGTGAATCAATTAATCAGATCAGTTGTTTTGTTTTTTCAGTGTCACAGACATTAGATCATGATGTTGATGAATCTGCTGTTATGGCTGTCGATGATGGTAATGTTCAGTTTAAATGAAGACGTTAATTTGTAATGTTTAGTTTGACTTATTTGTAGTCATTTCTTTATGAATTTATAGTATATGTAGCTATATATGTTGATAATATCCTTTAAAATGTCAAATAATATTACACCCATAAATGTTTCAAACTTTCTAAGCTCTAAAACTGAAAATAATTACAATCAAATGTATAGAAGTGCATACATATATTTATTAAAAGATTTGTATGAAAACATGATTTTATCCAGATTAGTTTTAGTATACATGTAGTCTTATGATTACCTATGCCTTTATACAAAATTTATTTAAACATCATTTAGAATCATGTAGAATTATCTTTTCAGTTATTAAAGGCATCCCAACAATATACGATGCATTTGTGTGCTATAACCCAGAGGGAGAAGACTTGATATTTGTAAGGAAACTTATCGAGAAACTTGAGGATGAGAATGGTCTGAAACTGTTTGTACCTTGGAGGGACGACCTTCCTGGTGCCTCACACAATACTGTTACAGCTAAACTGATTGAACACAGGTTATTATTCACTGTTGTTTTTTTCTCATTCTTAACCTACTGAATTGATGTATTGGATTTGCCTTATTTTGAATTGAAACAGTTCATAAAAAGAGATAAAGGCATTCAGTATCAAAATACAGAACTTGAGCTACCAGCAGTATAGAGGCTAGCCTGGTTCTAAACTTGAGCCGCGTCATGACAAAACCAACAGTGGGTTTGCGACCAGCATGGATTCAGACCAGCCTGCGCCTCCTCGCACTCTGATCAGGATCCATGCTGTTCTCTATCAGTTTCTCTACTTGTAATAGGGTTTGTAAGCGAACAGTATGGATCCTGATCAGACTGCGCGGATGCGCAGGCTGGTCTAGATCCATGCTGGTCGCAAACGCATTACTTTGGTTTTGTCATGACACGGCTCACTTGTTATTGAGGTAGGTTGACTAATATGTAAAAACAGTCACAAAACATTTTTTTATTGTTATATGTAGTATAACTTTTCAACGTACAAGTATCATTGAAAGTTTACTCAAAACTGTTTTTGCATAATAGAATAAAAAGTTATGTATCAAATAAGAAAGTAGCATAAAAAACATTTTGAAAATTTCCAGTAAACTAGTAAAAGATGACAAATCTACCTGGTTACTGGCCCCGTGTTCATTAAGTAAGGATCAGGATCAAATTCACATTTATTGTTCTATAAAACTAAAAATTATACTTTTTTTGCTAAACTTAAATGGTACTAAATCGAAATGTGAAAAATTGCTGTTTTCCAAAGAAGCAAACCTATTTTGGGATAGAATTGACAAATAACTAAACAAAAATAGAAATAATCTGATCAAAATAAGGATCAGTTTTAGGATCAAGATCAATATTTGGATCAACTGTAAAATGCCCTTATCTTGCAAAAGTAACAATAACTGTATTCTTAAATTTCATGGACATACCATTTCAAGTCCAATTTTATCAAGTTATTTCTAAATATTTAATTTGAGGTTTTAACTTTGATCTTGATCCTGATTCTTAAATCTTTGTGAACATAGGGCCTGGTGACTATGTTTTGAAAAGGAGCAATCGTGCCATTTGAGACTGAAAGTTGTTGTCATCTGTTATACATGAAAACTTCTGAAATTACTTTATTTTGTTGAAGAAATGATTATGTATAAGGGCAAACAAGACAGACAAAGAGATAATTAGGGCTTCAATCTTAAGTGATTGGGTTTATTGTTTTCAGATGTAGGAGGATGATCATTGTTATATCACCCAGTTATTTGCAGAGTTCAGCTTGTGATTTCCAGACAAAATTTGCTCATGGTCTTTCACCAGGTTAGTAACTAGATGAAATTATTCAGTTATTTTAACCGAGGTATGAATTTTGAATGTATAATCTCATTGTCAGTTTGTCAAAAAGGTGACTTCTCATCAGAAACTGCACTATCAAGAACTTGGCTACTTTAATTATGCCCCCACAAACAAAGTTTAAGGTGGGTTTATAGGAGTCAGTTTGTTGGTTGGTTCGTCTGTCAGTTTCCTTCATGGTTTCTGGAAAATAACAAGAGTTTGGAATGAGAAGTTGTAATCAAATTTGGTAAAACAACCTTATGTGGAAACCCCCGTTTGTATTGCGTTTGGACCCCTGGGGTCAAGGTCACTGTTACTAGAAATAGAAAAATGGTTTCCGGACAATAACTTGAGTTAGGAATGAGATATTGTAATCAAACTTGTTGTATAGCAAGGTTTACCGTTATATAAAGACCCCGGTTGGTATTGCATTTGGACCTCCCAGGGTCAAGGTCGCCATTACTAAAAACAAGAAAAAAATGGTTTCCGGACAATAACTAGAGTTATGAATGAGATATTGTAATCAAACTTGGTGTATTGCAAGCTCATATGAAGACCCTGGTTGGTAATGCATTTTAACCCTCTTGGGTCAAGGTCACTGTTACATAAAATAGAAAAAATGGTTTCCAGACAATAACAAGAGATAGGAATGAGATATTGTTATCAAACTTGATGTAAAGCAAGCTTGTATGAAGACTCCGGTTGGTATTGAATTTGGACCCCCTTGTGTCAAGGTCACCATTACTTAAAATAGAAAAATGGTTTCTGGACAATTTTTAGTGTTATGAATGAGATATTGTAATCAAACTTGGTGTATATCAAGCTTATATGAAGACCTTAGTTGGTTTTGCATTTTGGAACCCTTGGGTCAAGGTCACTGTTACTAAAAATAGAAAAATGGTTTCTGGACAATATCTAGAGGTAGAAATGAGATATTGTAATCAAACTTGGTTTAAAGCAAGTTCATATGAAGATCCTGGTTGAGATTGCAATTAATTGAAATAAATCTTTGTACACAGTTGATACTTCATTAACTATAGGTTGAGGTCAAATTTTTCTTCAGACTACTTATTTTTCAAAAAGTGAAAGTTGCTTATGGGGGTATTAATCACCTGCAGTGGTCTGTCATATGTGTCATAACCTTATGAAGTTGCAAGAAACCTTTTGGTTCTAATAGTCTCATCTTAGAGTTTTTCCAAAACTGACTTGTCAAAAGCTTAGAAATTTGACCATATTTGGCTTGTAGCATTGTCTTACTTACCTCAACAAAGGTTTTATCTGTCTATTTGAGAAAATGACAATACACCAGTGTCTCTTGCAACATAGACCTGTTCATATAGAATTATATCTTTAGGAATATACTCTCAGAAACAACAATGCAAATAGCTTTGATAAATGATATATGAAACATAGCATAGCTGCATTGTGGCTGTTACAGAAGTTGAATAAAAAAAATGCCCCTTGATGTCTTATTGATTTGCATAGACTTCCAAAGGCTTTTACAATTTATAATTGTGTCTGATACTAAATGGTCCAGATATTTTGTAGATTGGACTTCCTCTTTCTTTTTATTTCTTTGTGTGCTGGTTTGTTTTGTGACATTCAGTTACTGGTGTTTATTTTAGGTTCACGAAATAAGAAACTGATTCCAGTGCTGATACAAGACTGCACCATTCCTGAAATTTTGAGACATATCACCTGTTGTAACTACACAAGGAAAGAATTACTGGAGTGGTTTTGGACAAGGCTTGTATCCTCACTTAAGGCACCTTTAAACCCTTCTGAATGTAAGTTCCGAAACCAAAATGTATTAAATACGTTGAATCTGGATACTTCATCATCGGTACCTGGCTGGTCAGATTCAAGTTCTAGCCAGGGGTCAAGTTCATTGTCAAGTGTTGGTTCCAGTGGAACATCAGGGTCATCGTCAATGAGTACTTCAACTTATTCCTCTGGTTCCTCCTCGGATACAAGAGGTAATGATTACATTCAGCCGACAGCAAACTACCCACCTTATCTGGAACTGTTATCTGCCTCTCCACCATTACCCAGGAGATCAAATGATTATGAACGAATCAGTAATATTCGTCGTTTACAAGGGGTGGATAACTCTGCTTCAAATGAAGTTGTTGCTGATACTTATGGTCAAAGAACAGCTCATTACACTCAGCCAATAGCTACTCGGGATAGAAGTCAGTCGCCTAGCAACGCAGCCAATCGGGGATACCAGACTTTACAAACATCAAGTTCAGCAGGCGGACAGACGCAGCAGAATTTGTCCCCTCTTGCTAGAACAGATCTGTCATCACAAGGCAGTTCTCCAGGTGTCAATCGACGACCCGTCCCACCAATCCCTACACAAAACTCCTGTAAACAAAGTGAAGCAAAAGAATATTTTTGCTGAAAAGAAACATATTGTGAACCTTAATGTAACACATCTTTAGCTCCCCTGAGTATCAATGCCCAGAGGTGAGCTTTTGTGATGACAATGTGTTAGTCATCCATCATTTATTGTTTCTTATAACAACATCTCAGGTGAGTGACCTAGGGCCCGTTATCTGTCTTGTTCATTTAAAAGGATCTGTTTATAATTATAATTACTGACATATATTGGAAGCATAGACATATCAAATACAGTGTACATACTGTAGAAAATGAAAAAATATACAATTTACATTCTTATTTTAATGCTGAGATAAATTTATGTTTAAAGATACATGTTTTTTATTGGATATCTTTTATTTTGCATTTGAAATTTCTTTCATGCTATCAGCTGTATAAAGATGTATATAGGTATAGGCATTTATGAAATAATATGCTTTGTAGAAACATTTAAGTGCTGTTTTATATTGTATGATAAGTTTTTCAACTTAGGTTTTTGGGAACTTCCATTAATTACATAGTGTTTAAAGTTACCATTACTGCTTATGGTTTGAATCTCACTAGGACTTCATATAGTTTATGAAAGGCCAGTGGTTCCACATATTGGCCTAAAAATTCTTGAAATAATGAGTTACCTGAATTCTGTTTTGTAAAATAACATGTACAATGTTAGTGAGACTTTGAAACATTGCTCAACAAGTTTCAACTATTCAGAGGGGTGTCCTCAGCCAATGGTTTAGGTCATTGTCTTCAAACCACTTGCCTCTCACAGCTCAGGGTTCAATTCCCGCCATTGACTTTGAAATCTTTCATGTAAGGAAACTATCCAGCTTGTACCTGGCCATTGTCCTGTCTAAAATAATGCACAAAGAAGCACCTGAGGTCTTTCCTGCTACAAAAAATCTTTATTGTCGCCATATGACCTTTACAATGTTGATGAAATATAAAACCCAACAAACAAAAAAAACAAGAAAAACTTATTTCAGATGTGTTCTTCACCTGTATATCTACCTACTTACAATTAGCATCAAAAATAGGTTTGAACTTTTTATGAAAAATGGATCAAACCAGTTTTTTTTTACCACTTTAGTAGTTATTACTATAATGATGTTCATTTGAGAACTTCTTAAATATCATTTTCAAGAAATAAGTAATTTCCATATACGCCATGTGGTCAACCACAATTCAGTAATGAAACTAAGATGTTGTTATGTATTTTAATTAAACAGTCATGTATTTACGATGTGATAATAGTAAATGCATTCCATGAACTTTCTGTCATAATCAAAAATTGATTAACAGTAAACTATTCTTTTTATTATACTTATACATAATGTGTATCTTGAAAAGCAAACATTTTTTCTAGATTGTTTTAATTAAGTTTAAAGTGTAATGTTTTAGCAGTCTAATGAGAAATTTGTTATGGACTTATATTGCACAAATTTGACATTAGTATTGCATAATTATCATGTTTTTACATCTTGTGTTGCTGAACTACTTTGTGTGATAAATGTAGCTAAATTCTTTAGTATAATGCATTATGTTGCAACAGATCAAAATACCTACTTTTTTCTATGAAGATCACTTTACAATGATCTATACACTAAGCAAGCATTTTCCTTTTACAAAATGCTATCTTTTTAGTCCCCTACCGGTTTACCGGAGGGGACTTTAGGTTTTCCGTCCGTCCGTCTGTCCGTCCGTCTGTCTGTCTGTCTGTCTGTCTGTCTGTCTGTCTGTCAGTCCGTCAGTCCGTCCGTCCACAAAACTGGATCCCGCGATAACTTGAAAAGTGCTGAAAATATTTTTATGAAACTTGGTATATGGATAGATGGCAGTATTGAGATTATGCACATCTTTTTCTTTTCTTCCTATGTTGAAAATTCTGGTTGCTATGGCAACAAATAGGCTGAAAATGTGGCAAATTTTACACATAAACTGGATCCAGTGATAACGCAAAAAGTACTGGAAATATTTTTATGAAACTTGACATATGGGTAGATGGCAGTCTTGGGATTATGCACGTCTTTTTCTTTTCTTCCTATGTTGAAAATTCTGGTTGCTATGGCAACAAATAGGCTGAAAATATGGCAAATTCTACACATAAACTGGATCCAGTGATAAAGCAAAAAGTACTGGAAATATTTTTATGAAACTTGACATATGGGTAGATGGCAGTCTTGAGATTATGCATGTCTTTTTCTTTTCTTCCTATGTTGAGAATTCTGGTTGCTATGGCAACACATAGACTGAAAATATGGCAAATTTTACACATAAACTGAATCCAATGATAACTCAACTTTTCCAACAAGTTTACTTAAAATAGAGAAAATTGAAACATTAGTGAATGGCCAATGGCCCTTCAGAATGTTGATGGGGTTCTAACCGGTAGGGGACTTATGGATTGCTTGCAATACTATGATAATTGCTTGTTACAATTGTTAAGGTGTAAGCTTATTTAATATTTTCTTTCTCTTACTTAATTCTATTTACCAGGTTATTGCTATTGTTGTATAATAAGTGTACCTTTATTGATAACATTGTGGGCCTCCATGGCTTACATTGTGGGCATTCATGGCTTACATTGTGGGCATTCATGGCTTACATTGCGGGTCTCCATGGCTTACATTGTGGGTCTCCATGGCTAGCATTGTAAGCATCCATGGCTTACATTGTGGGCCTCCATGGCTTACATTGTGGGTCTCCATGGCTAGCATTGTAAGCATCCATGGCTTACATTGTGGGCATTCATGGCTTACATTGTGGGCCTCCATGGCTTACATTAGTGGGTCTCCATGGCTAGCATTGTAAGCATCCATGGCTTACATAGTGGGCATCCAGGGTTGGCATTGGCCTCCAAGGATACCATTATTGGCCTTCAAGACTGACATTATAGGCATCCAGGGTTTGTATTATTGGCCTACAAGGATCACATTATTGGCCTCCAGGGCTGACATTATAGGCATCCAGGGTTTGTATTATTGGCCTACAAGGATCACATTATTGGCCTTCAAGGATCACATTATTGGCCTACAAGGATCACATTATTGCCCTTAAAGACTGACATTATAGGCATCCAGTGTTGACATTAGTTTCCAAGAATCGCATTATTGGCCTTTAGGGCTGACATTGTAGGCCTGCAGGGTTGGCATTATTGGAGACTGTAACTTAAACCCAGACTAAAAAATAAAGAACTTTCTTGTGACAAAATATATGATTACTATTCTGAGCACTGTCAAAAACTAGTTTCTTTGATTTTATCAGTGTATAAAAGTTAGCCTAGTTACATTTTGATTAGATCTGTTAAATCATGTATATTTTTCCATACTGAAATTTTTTTCCAATTTCACCTTTTTATATCAGATATTAACAATGCAATAAAAGGAATGAAATTACAAATATCTGACATTTGTTTGAAAAGTGCAAAGGACACAATAGTTCCAAAAGTGTAGTTTAGCTAGATTAAAAATTGATTATTGTAGTTTTCCTTTAATGTTTTGTTTTGTTGTTGTTGTTTTTATTTGTTTGGGTCATCAGACCAAACAAATAATGGTAGCGAAATTTCAGAGTCTAATGCTGTTAATTGCAAATGCCTAAAGTAGTCCACTTTTTTGAAGCGGTTACTTCCCTTTATATGTACACTAACGCCGAAAAATTCAGGGGAGATCAATGCGTAAAGGGCATAATAATTTTCAAGCAAAGTAGTTCCCGAATGGTCGAAGATTTCTAATATTGTTTCATTCTTTATAGATATACATGCTTACAGTAAGCTCCATGATTATTATGTCTCCCCCACCTCGGGGGGAGACATATTGTTTTTGCCCTGTCCGTCCGTCAGTCCGTCCGTCCGTCCATTCTTCGTTTCCGGACGATAACTAGAGTTCCTTTTGACCTACAGCTCTCAAACTTCATAGGATGAATGGTCTTATTGAGCAGATGATCCCTATTGTTTTTGGGGTCAGTAGTTCAAAGGTCAAGGTCACAGTGACCGTTGGTCAATTTCTCGTGTCCGGATGATAACTAGAGTTCCTTTTGACCTACAGCCCTCAAACTTCATAGGATGATTGGTCTTATAGAGCTGATGATCCCTATTGTTTTTGGGGTCAATAGTCAAAGGTCAAGGTCACACTGACCGTTGGTCAATTTCTCGTTTCCGGATGATAACTAGAGTTCCTTTTAGACCTACAGACCTCAAACTTCATAGGATGATTGGTCTTATTGAGCAGATGATCCCTATTGTTTTTGGGGTCAGTAGTTCAAAGGTCAAGGTCACAGTGACCGTTGGTCAATTTCTCGTTTCCGGATGATAACTAGAGTTCCTTTTGACCTACAGCCCTCAAACTTCATAGGATGATTGGTCTATATAGAGCAGATGATCCCTATTGTTTTTGGGTCAGTAGGTCAAAGGTCAAGGTCACAGTGACCGTTGGTCAATTTCTCATTTCCGGATGATAACTAGAGTTCCTTTTGACCTACAACCCTCAAACTGGGGGGAGACATATTGTTTTTGCCCTGTCCTCCGTCAGTTCCGTCCGTCCGTCAGTCAGTCCGTCCGTCCATTCTTCGTTTCGGGACGATAACTAGAGTTCCTTTTGACCTACAGCTCTCAAACTTCATAGGATGAATGGTCTTATTGAGCAGATGATCCCTATTGTTTTTTGGGGTCAGTAGTTCAAAGGTCAAGGTCACAGTGACCGTTGGTCAATTTCTCGTTTCCGGATGATAACTAGAGTTCCTTTTGACCTACAGCCCTCAAACTTCATAGGATGATTGGTATTATAGAGCTGATGATCCCTATTGTTTTTGGGGTCAGTAGGTCAAAGGTCAAGGTCACACTGACCGTTGGTCAATTTCTCGTTTCCGGATGATAACTAGAGTTCCTTTAGACCTACAGACCTCAAACTTCATAGGATGATTGGTCTTATTAATCAAATGATCCCTATTGTTTTAATGGTCAGTAGGTCAAAGGTCAAGGTCACAGCGACCGTTGGTTAATTTCTCCTTTCCGGATGATAACTAGAGTTCCTTTAGACCTACAACCCTCAAACTTCATAGGATGATTGGTCTTATTGAGCAATTTCGTTTGACGCCCGCCTGCCATACGCTGATTGAATAACCAGGATTTTCAAAATTGAATACCTGGTTAAAAACAAACAGTTTAGGAAGCATCTTCTCATACAACCTTAACAATAGAAACCATCCATAGACAGCCTTCATTGAAGTGACTACCGGGTATTTACATTATCTTATCTCCATTTCCATTCCTGTTTCCATTCACAGTTATTCTCAGCAGTGGGGGAGACATGCGCTTTTTTACAAAAGCATCCTCTAGTTTAAATCTGTGTTTAGCGTCGAAATAATAAGAGTTACAAACCCTAATTTAGAATAATATGGTTTTCTTCAGATCGTTAACATATAACTTCACCGTGGCCGAGGGGTTTGCACGCTCGCTTGTGAATCGAGAGGTCTCAAGTTCAAATCCCAGTCGAGGCAACTCTTTTTTTTTTTCTTTTTTTTTTAAGTCCAATAAACATTGAATTGACTATCAGTGTTGCAATTAGTCTTATAGCCAATTTACTACAATTAAAACAATGGAAAGCATTGGCGGCACTATACAAAAACAAATTGGTTTATAATCTCACAACCTTCACCTTTCTGACATTCTGAGACCCAAACAAATTCAGCGCCTTCTGTGCTTTGATTATTTTCTTTGTTTCTTTTAAGGTTAAAACCTGCACATCTCAACTCATAAACAGCTGAATCTGATTTTCAAATATTTTTAGATAACATTTTTTATTTTTGATATCTTAAAACTTTCAAGATATTTTATATGTCTTTTTTCCATTCTCTATATTTGATTCATATTTTTTATGATTTATATGAAATTTTATTGTACATGTAATTGCTTTTTTGAACTATTACAGCATTGTTTTCAGTTTACTGTGCTTAGGGAGACATTGTTAGTTATGGACAATATTTCCCAAAATTATGCTTCAAGTATTTATTTTATAATATTATGAAATAATGATTATGCATAACCACGACTTTCTAACAAAGCAGTGGTGAAAGATTGCTGTGTACAGACATTGTATTGGTTAGTAAGTTATGTCTGTATATCCACCAGTCAGTAACCTATTCCAATATGAGAATCCTTTGAAATGTTTACCTCAGATTTTGATGATGTTGTTAATTTTGACTTGTAGATACATGACTGCAGATGAGGTCTGTAGGTTAAAGTTCGTGAAAAAGCATCTCCCACTAATAAGTAGTGAAAGTGTTAGCCTACAGTTAGACATACAGATCATGAGGTGATTGGTTAGAAGGTCAAGGCTGACAATCACATAAATTTGTCCCAAAGTCATAGCTTAAAAGTTTTTAATTCCTATCAATGCTGATGTGGCAACAGGTCATGGCCATGATGATTTTAAACAAAATCAGGCTTACAGTCATCAGAAGTTGGTGGTAATTTGACTGATTTGTCCATAAATGTTTCATGCACATACATTTCATGTTTTAGTATGAATAGATACACATGTAAATTTGGTGATATTTCTAAATATATGATTGACAAATCATAAATGAACTTTCTTTGGTCATCTCTGAAGTATGATATATAATCTTATTTTAAGGAGAGCAGTGGTTAAGGTGTCTGTCCCTCAGCCCAGAGATCATGGGTTTGAGCCCTATGCTGGTCACGATCATGTTTCCTCATATAACACCAGTACTGGTTATTTCCAGCTTCTTTTACACATACAGACAAGAGTCCTTGGGGGTGGGGGGGGAATAATTTTCTTCAATAAGACTTCATTGTTTAGAAACTTTTTATTGAAATTGATTTGTTGATTTAGCAGCATGTAAGATTTTAAATAGTTTATTGTTGTGTGTGATATGCAATTTTGTTTAGTTGTTTTGATGAAGATTTTATAGACATAGTTTATAAGTTGTTGTTTATATTTTTTATCAAATATTTGTAAATAAAGAAATTGTACAGTTATTTCAATTATGTTTTTGTTGATTATTACAGCTAGCAATATGTAGAACAAGAAGTTTAGTTTAGTTTGGTTTAGTTATTAATATACAGGTTTGATTTTACATGGTTATCCATCGACTGTGCGTCCATCGGCTATGTGTGAATCCATGTGTGCGTCCACAATTTCTTTAAACACCTTCTTCTCTTAAACCACATGACCTATTTTGTTGAAACTTTGCAGGGATGTTTCTTGCATGAAGCTCTGCCAAAGAATTAAATTCCATGAAGAACTCTGGTTGCCATGGCAAGAAATTTTTTTGTAAAAAACCAAAAGTGCTAAAGCTAAGATATTTGACATGAAACATCTTCTAGTGGATGTCTACCAAGTTTGTTCAAATAAAACCCCTAGGGTCAAAATTGGCCCGGCCCCAGTGGTTATTGATTTTACTTACACATGTATGTATATATTAAAAACTTCAAAAATATTGTCGTGAAAATCTAAAAGAGGTAGAGCTTAGATATTTGGCACAATACATCTTCTAACAGATGTCTACCAAGTTTGTTCAAAATTGACCCTGTCCCAGGGAGCATTGATTACCCTTATATGTATATAGTAAAAACCTAAAAAATCTTGTGACTATTCAAAAGCACTATAGATAAGATATTTGGCATCAAACATCTTCAAGTGGATGTCTACCAAGTTTGTTCAAATAAAACCCCTACGGTCAAAATTGACCCCCGCCCCAGGGTGTCATTGATTTTCCATAGATGCATATAATAAAAACTTAAAAAATCTTGTGACAATCCAAAACCGCTATAGATTAGATATTTGGCATGAAACATCATCTAGTGGATGTCTACCAAGTTTGTTCAAATAAATGCCCTAGGATCAAAATTGGCCTGGCGCCAGAGGTCATTGATTTCTTTATAAATATATAGTAAAAACTATTAAATCTTTTTTAAAATAAAAGACCTAGGATCAAAAGTGACCCCGACCCGAGGATCATTGATTTTCCTTTTATTTACATGTATATAGTTAAAACTTAAAAGATCTTCTTGTGAAAATCCTAAAGACCTTAAGCTTAGATATTTGGCATAAACCAAGTTCTAGTGTATGTCTACCATGTTTGTTGAAATAAAACCCTTTGGGTCAAAGTTTGCCCCACCCAAGGGGATCGAGGTCAACAGTCAATCCCTAGCCAGGTCAAATGTTGGTTTTCCCTCCCTTTTTCTATCATCTGTTTATTAGCTCACTTCTCGCTTAGTGACAGGCTGAACTGTTTAATAAAATGGCTGCCAGACTTAAAATTAGAAAACAATAACATCTAAACATCTTAACCACTGGTTCAGTTTTGAAATAATTTTACACAAAAATTTCCTTGGTAACAGTGTACAATTGTTTTTTCAGATTTAGCAGTCCCTTGTTTTAAAATTGTGCAAATTTGACCTTTAAACCTAGCGATCCAGGGCCCTCTTGGCCCTCTTGTTTCTTGTGATACCAGTACTGGTTAGTTCCAGGAAGCAGACTTGAAAGTGATTACTATACGTTCCTAGAATTTTTCACAATCAAGCTTAGATTAACGTGTTTGAATTGATTTAACTAAATGAATAATTAATACTTTAGTTGAATTGATCACCACCAAACTTAGATTGTAGCATCCTGTTATTGTCTCCTATAAAGTTTGGCAAGTAGGCAGCACATTCTATATAAATTAACCAGGACGTTTTTTTCTCTTGCTCTATTGGAGATACCAATGTTTAAAATGTTTGCGATGTAACTTCAGATACAAATAAATAAACTGAATTTGGTTTGATATTGCACAACTGCAAATACAGTAATCCCTTTGTTTTCGTATTTGATGCAAGTATATACGAGGTGTGTCCGTACTAATGATTTTATGCCTTTAGATTATACCAACAGTAAAATATACATATCAAGATTAGGTCTGCCTTTAAAAAAATAAGTCTATAAGAAAATTATTATGATCAGCTAAAACAAATGCGAGTACATGTACATGTATTTTAGTAAAAAGAACTTCCTGAAACACAATGAGGACGTAATTATTTGTTCTTGTGATTTAATAACGCCTATAAAATTACGTACATATACGAGGGACGGTCAGAAAATATCCGGACTTTTCATGCTCCTCTCTTTCCACGTGCAGCTATATACACACATTATATATTGGTGAAAACTACATTCATTCGCCAATAACGTGGTCAGTTTATTTTCAATGATAGTTGTGTATACACAGTATTTTGCCCTCTGATATATGATACGTGTTTCGTCTATCATGGACTCTTTGTTAGAGGAACAACGCTCTGTTATAAAGTTTCTGGTTGCAGAAGGTGAAAAGCCCTGCCACATCTTTCAGTGGTTTAAAAAAAGATTTTCTGATAAATGTGTATCACGTTCAACCTTCTACAACTGGGTTTCTTATTTCGTGAAGGCAAAAACAAGTGTTTTGACAGGCCTAGGACTGGGCGGCCAGCTGAGGCGGTGACCCCAACAATGGTAGCAAATGTTAAGCTTTTGTCACAAAAAATCGTCGAGTAACTTTGGAGAATGTAGCCAACAAGTTTAGCATCGGTAAGGCATCGCACACACAGATTTTACATGAACACCTAGGCATGAGCAAGGTAAGTGCCAGGTGGGTGCCTAGACAGCTGTCCGCAGATCAAAAGGCAACCAGAAGTAACCAATGCAAAAGAACATTTAAGTCGTTTTAATCGTGAAGGAGATAAGTTTTTGTACCGCATTATCACTGGAGATGAGATGTGGGTTCATTATTCCGAACCTGAGACAAAAGCTCAGTCAAAGCAGTGAAAACGAGCTGGTTCCCACCTCTTAAAAAGTTTTAGCTGTCTTCCTTCGGCTGGCAAAGTCATGCTTGTTGCCTTTTGGGATTCTCGAGGAATGATACTTACTCATTTCATGCCAAAAGGTCAAACTGTCACCGCCAAGTACTATTCTGAAGTAATTCTGAAAAATCTCAGGGAAAAGCTGAAGTAAATGCGTCCCAGGTAAAGAAATGTCCTCCTTCTTCACGATAATGCCCCCTCCCATACCGCCGAAGCTACAGTGGAGATTATGAACTCTTACAAATGGCAATTGTTGTCTCACCCTCCTTATAGCCCAGACCTCGCCCCCTGTGACTTTTTTTTGTTTCCAGAACTGAAAAAATTGCTTGCCGGAAAGAAATATAAGACCAGGGCGGCTTTGATATCTGCTGTTACACAGTACCTAAAACATAGGTCTAAGTCATGGTTCACAGCGGGAATACAAAAGCTCCCACGAAGATGGCAAAAATGCGTAGACGTAGGTGGAGAATATTTTGAAAAAGAGTAGAAAGATTTTTTTTTTAAATGTTGAATGGTTTTCGAGAACGAGTCAAAAGTCCGGATATTTTCTGACTTCCCCTCGTATAGTAATCCGGGGGATTTTGACATTGTTTTTTTTTCAAGGGAAGACTGTGTTTCAAATCCAAATAGATGTATGTTTAGATTCCTCTGATAAAATTCATAGAATATGAAATAGTGGAAATTTATGAAAAACTCTTAATCGCAGTAAAATAAAGATAAAGGTGAAGCTTGAATGGAAACAAAACGGAAGACGCTGGAGAAGAAATAAAGAAAGACAATATAGTTCCGACCATTGCTAAAAATATGACTCTCTAGACTCCTAAATAAAGCAGATTCAGAGATAAGGTTACTTTGGAAATATAACAGGAAGATCGGCCATTACCTGATGCAAAGGGTAAAAATGGAAACAGTGAAAAGTAAGAATTCTGCTAACTTAAAAAAAGAAACGTGAGTGTTCAAGTCGTCACGATTTCTGTTAATGAATTACTAACTTTCAATTAATGTACAAGAGAATATTATATAACACAATATTGACAGAGGAATCATTGCCCTTTGCAATACTCTCCTTGAATGGTGGAGGGTTACAAACATGGTCAATCAAGTTCAACTTTTGACTAACGCGCTTTTATTTGTTTGTACAAGGGGACATAACTAATGTATATTTATTTGATGCCAGGCTTTAAGTTTCTATAGCCGATTAATGTGTTACATTCGGTTATTTTATAACGATATGTTTCCAATTATAGACTATATTCTTATCTCTATGACACAGAAATTGGTCTCAACTATATTCATAGAGTTGTTGAAATTGTAATATTATTAATAATTATGGAATTACTTTTAGAGGGGATTTTATTAGGTATCTTTATATATCTTTATCATTTATTGCTCTTTTTTGTTATGAATGAAACAGAATTTTACTAAAATAATAAATTATATGTTGTCTTTCGATATTATCGCAAAGACTTCACTACATCTATTATTTTAAAAGAATGAATAATTGTGGTTGAAGTATCAAAAGAAATGATAAAAGATAGCATGCTTAAGTATTGATTTATAAGTGATAGCAATGTTGTGTTTTTCTATATACTATTCTGGTTACAGTATTTTTCAGCAATGGTATATTGCTATGTACTGCCAGCGTTAACTTTTGTAAGTATTGTTTATTTTCTGTTAGTGATATAGTGTAATGCAAGAAAATAATTGAATAAAAATCCTATACCAATAAAATAATAACCGTACAACTGTATACTTTTAGAAAAAAATCTCACTGATAATTATTGTCGTTAAATATTTTGAAGATATGGATAAAGGCTTCTTATCGGGACCAAAACTCCAACTATTTCTACATGTCATATTTAATTGTATCAATGCGAAGAAATAATAAATTCTAAATGTATGCAAATTTATTATTATCACCACCACCATCATCATCATCATCATCATCATTATCTTTTTTTTTATTTATTTATAAAATTTTGAATTCCATTTAAAAAAGGTGATAGATGTAGTAGTGGTAGAACCTCTATTATCAGTTCATTGCAGTTATATCATTCAAAGGTCCATTAAGCCTCAACAATGTTATCATTTGATTTCTCAAAAACTGATTACTTCTGGTCTCCTGTTACATTTTCCAAAAAGGTACTCATTAATCAAAATCATATAGATGAACGATCTTTTGTCTCTTTTGCTCTTTGGCAAATTGTATACTGATAGTGATTAAGTATTATGTATCTATATTTAACATAATATATAAATAAGTCTTCTGTTTCATTTGAATCACAATTATTACAAGGTAGACCAAAGGAATATTTAATGCATTGCTTACATGGAAATGTACTGGGTTAAGCCACGAACCATCCAAACTCCACTATGAATAATTTAATGTACTCGGATCAAAATCCAATTTTCTTACATATGGGATCTTTAAACAAAATATTGCTTCGTAGAACCTCGTAATGAAATACAAAAAATATATGTATCTTATGTTTCTATAGTTACGGTACAGCCATCGTTGGCAACTGTAGAAAAGGAAATTGAATCAACGGAAAAGTCTATCAGTGCACCAATAACGGAAATATATACAACTAGACAACCTATTGTAATATCAGTGACCGGAAAACAAAGCACAGGGCAGGTAATCAGTACAAACAATGTCACAACTTTGCTGTCACAAAATGACACAAGCACTAGGGCGGTTACAAATACACATAGTGTGACAACACCGATCACTCCAGGCGACACAAGCACTACATCTTCACTATATACACACAGTGTAATATCAGGAATGCCGACGGAAACAAGCGCTAATTCTAGAAATTGTCCAAGTGGGTTTGTTCATTGTGCCGACGGAAATTGTGAACCTTATGAGTCACTGTGTGGAGAAGGAGGTAATATAGCTAGCTATACATTTGCATGCACAACCCTTATTACATTTGTGTATGTTTCATACAGTAATTATGAACTATTTGTCATAATTATTTATTATTATCATATTTTTACACTTTCTAACACTGACAATTACATCAAGAAACATGATTTTTAGTTTTGACATGTATTATTTTCTTCTAAATCTTATTATCTTATTGCCAAATATACATATGACTGCTTCTTTACAATATCATAGGAATAGTGACGGTAGTATTTCCAACTGATGTAACAACAGGTTCCCCCGAGCGTTCTACGGGCCATTTATCCAGTGGATTTTCTAAAGGTACTTTATATGTATAGGTTAGAGTGCATATTGGGTGTTCTTCGTAGATAAGAAAGCTAAAAAGGAGCGGAGCTTGCGAAGCGACTGTAGCTTTCTTATTTACGAAGAACATCTAATATGCACTATAACCGGCTCCGCCCACTTGCGTTTTATAATAAAACGTCCAGTTTATATAAAATCTGTTCTATTAAGATTTGAAACCTGAAAATTTGAACAATCTTCGTCGGTGATTGGCTTAAAAATAATGGCGAGCACTAAATATTGTAACATATTACTAACAACATTTGTGACCTTTGGTATTTCACATATAATATTTTTCTTTTAGTTTTATTATTATATTCTCTCTAAAAGTCTGACAATTAAAACAATTTTAAATATGTTTGTGAATTTTTAAAAAATATTTTAAGCAATCAGTTTAAGTTAAATTATTTCTTGTTTTTCTTAATGTATTTTTTTTTTGTAACTTTTGTTTATAATGACATTGAAAGCAATCTTAGATATGTTTGTGAATTTGTTTTTAAAAAGCAACAACTGAAAACACATTAAATTCATGAATTGTTTTGATACATTTTCAGCCGTAACAGACAATACACTAGCTGCAACAACACCAACCGTACAAGTAACTACAACACCGGTTGTCTTGGCAACAGATAGCAGTAATTACTTTATATTATGAATGATAAGTACTTAAATTACAATCTTTCTTTTAAACATAGTCAAGTATCAATATCTTCTATAATATCTTTATGTAGGAAAGGACATGTTGAAGGTTTATTTCATAAATTAATTAAATTAGCTTACTCCTACGAAAAAGGAAGATTTTAACGTGTGTCATTTACACTCGGGGTAGTTTTGTATAAATGTTGGCTTTCGTCGTGATTTGTACCTTGTATATCATATTACAATCTTATTATAATGTGCAGATGGACATGAAATTTGTCTAGATGGTTGGGAATTGTGTATGGACGGTACATGTGAACCATTCCACTGGCTTTGCACTGAACATGATGGCTCAGCTAATTTTACAAGTACGTTTAATAGTATTATTTTCATGTAAACGGCTTTACCTTAACAATATAAAATATCAAATTGATCCATCAGAAGGAAATGAAACACGTACATTGCTACTGGTGTATTTGATGAGAACATTTCAGTAATTTTAGCGTTTTGATTGTCCTTTGGTTGTTATGCTTTAGAAATTTGAAATAAATGGAGTTTATCTCGCACAAACTGTAAAGTAGGTGATTCTTTTCTGTATCTTAAGCATTACAGGCCACCGAAGCCCCACCAACCAGCCCTGTGGTAACTTTAAGTCCTGCCGTAACTTTAAGTCCTGTGGTTACTTTACAACCAATAGTAACTGAAGCTGTATTAGAAACATCAAGTAAGCCATTACCTTATCCTTCAGATTCCTGATATATATGATCAAAAACATAAATGATTATTTTTTTTATAGTTTTTATCAGTGGTTTCTTTTCATTTTCTTTCTATAATGCTATAAAAGATTTTAAATAAGCGGTAAAATTATACTTGTAACTAATTTTGGGATAAAGATAACCTCGCGGGTTTAAATTTTTTAAATTTTTTTGTTGCTGTTGTTTTTTGTTGTTGTTTTTTGTTGTTGATGTTGTTGGTTGTTGTGGTTGTTTTCTTTTAATTATCAAAAATATGAAAATATTAACGTATTAATATATCGTTGTTACCGCCACATTAGATTAGAATCAGTAAAGACTTTGGGATATCCATACAGACAAAGTGTTTATAAATCTCAGCAATTTATTTCTCACATGATTTCGAAGTGAAAACTTACAGAATGTTGCTTTATGTTTTCTTTTCATCAACTTAAATCAGCAGCACAAATGGTACAAACAACAACATCTCAGATGGTACCGGAGACGACTGTTACTGACATAGGTGAGGAAATAAAACATATTCAATGAAAAAATGAGAATGTCGTATTGCATTTGACTTTTGGTTTGTCTGTTGTTGTATGGTATTTCTTTTTTTTCTTTTTGAAAAATGTCATGTACATTTTATTACATGTATTTATTGCATTATTGCACAAGAAACTGTTTCAGCTGTAAAATTAATTGTACAAACATGCACATTCTTAGATTTATCAAACCTGATTTTGTTTATATATAAACATGAGTCTTGATTGATCAGTTATAAAAATGATTATTGCCTTAGATTATAAAGAAACTCATTATTGTAAGGAACTCCTGGATCAAATATGTTTACCATTTCTTATCATTGCAGTTCCTCAAATAGTGACGTCATCGTCCGGAACATGTCCGAATGGATTTGTCCAGTGTGTAGACGGTACTTGTGAGCCGTTTGAGGCACTTTGTGGAGATCAAGGTATAATTGAATCTTTTCCTTATGTGTTATATATGTAATAATTGGTTAAATTTATATTTTATGCCAGCCAGTAGACACGTCAGTTTGATATTTCATTTGATTTGTATAATTTCGAAAGATCGTTGCTTGTACGATATTGTTGCCCACGTTTCCTTGTAGTTCTCTCAGATACTAAGATAATTGCGAATATGTGATTATAAGTGATTTCATTGCTTTACAGGTATTGTAACAGTTACATTTCAAACCAATTTACCCACAACTGGAACCTTATCGCCTGTTTCAGGAAGTGCTGTCACAAGCAAATCAACATTAGGTACAGTTTATATACTTCTATTTTAATGTCACGTTGGCGCTTATTTCATTATTTGGAACTCACATGAATATATATCTTAAAATTTTAAAAAAAATTGGATATAAATAAAACAACATTCATGCATTTCCATTCGAAATCAATCGGCACTTATTAGAATGAAATTTTTGTAACTTTTCTAAATCTTGGCGACCATCAGCTGCATAGCTGTATTTTTACAACAATAGTAATGACCATAGACCATAAACGTAGTATTAAGTTAATGGTAATGGTTGGGACAATGGTACTGTCGCGTCATCTTTGCGGTGATGCATCACTTTGAATCATTTCCCTTTTATGTCGCGTCTACTTTGCTAGGAATAATGTTATTGTTCCGCCGCGCATCGTTAGTGGTGATACATCTAACATGAAAATCTTATGCCCCGTCTACTTTGCTAGGAACACTGTGTTATTACTGCCGGGCTTAATTTTCTGTGAAAACATGGAACATTAACCTGTTATGTCGCGTCTCCTTTTATGACACAATGTTATTGTACTACCGTGCTTACTTTGTGGTGATATGAATGAAACATGAGCATCTTTTGTGCTAGGAAGTTAGGAACAATGCTATTGATCTGTCGTTTGTGATGATGTATACTGCAGTATTTGATATTTATAGTAAAGAAAATCTTTGATGATCTTTTCTATTTGAATTGAACCGAACATTGATCAACACATTGCTCTGAACATATTATATTGATATATGGAACTTAATATTTTTTGATATTAGAAAGTCTATCTACTTCAACAACTGTCCCTACAAGTACAACTACATTTGCTGTTGCAACAGATTCCAGTAAGCAGTTTATTCTATTTAATATAGCTGAAATCAAATGTGTATAAGAGGGGTGTTCCAGAAGAAATATTTATTTTTCCGTTGCATAAAATCCTAGTGTAAAATGGCAACAAATCAATGCATATCCGTATATACCTGATGTCACATGATAGCTAAATGCTTAAGTAAACACTTTTTGACTTAATCATGTTCCTTTTCAACTAAACGCTTTAATGCTAAGTCGATTTTATTCTCCTTAACTATTTAATTTATTTCGAATGTATAAAAATGATAATTATTTTTCCTATTCCAACCAAACCCCTCCCACAACTGAACTTTATGTGTGAATTTACATTTTATATATACACACTTGTTTGTTTTTTTTGTTGTTGTTCTTTTTTTTTTCGCTGCATCCGACGACCGACTGCGCTCAGTTAAAGTTGATTGTAAAGTCTAATATAGGTATGTGTACTTTTAAATACTTATCATTAATATCTCCAAGATAGTCGGAGAGAGAAGTGCGTGAAATAGTGAGAATTGGTGTAGAGTACCACATTGTTGAATAAACTTGCTCATAAAGATGGTAACATAGTAGTAAACCTGGTGCATAATGGCTTTATAACAAGAGAAACATGAATGGCTATCTGACAACTCTCAGATATTAACAATTTGTAGTTAAATAGATCTCAAAAATTATTCTTTTATAGTATATGTGAATCATGATAGCACTGTATTAGTGCTTATAGTATAGAGCCCAGTGATATAATTATAATGGTGTAATATATGCTGATCATTTAGTCTGTTCAATCTCTTCTCCATAATATATGAAAATTACTTAATACTCTAATAATTCTGCTATATAATATAATGTAACAAATACTGTGACACCTGAAGCAGGTTTTGGTGTCAATTGTCACTTTCTGCTTAGATTTGACTTGCTAATATAGGTCTCGAATCTGAACTATAGTTCAGACGTTATAGCACAATTATAAATCATTGCACGATATAAGTCACAAACTGTAACTTGACCCAAGTTGAACAAATGTCTAAGTGATAATAAATATAATTTAGAACAGAACAGACATATAGCGTTTATCCTTGATTTTTGGGCTCAATTACATCCCACTCGATATCAGTGAAATACATATTACATATAAATGTCAATAATCTCCTAAATTATACCACAAATGTATATTATCCACATATACATAATGATATATGCTACTTTAACCTATATATGACAACTTAAATTACCATTAAAAAACCCATATACAAGTTTATCAACCAATGTATTCCATTTTAGCCCGGACTATTCACGATAGAATAAGTAGAGCTATTGTAGTCACCCGAGCGTCGGCTCGGTGTGCGGCGTCTGCGTCGGCGTAACCACTTATGTAAAAGTTTTTGTAATAGTTCAAATATTTTCAAAGTCCATTGACATATGGCTTTGAAACTTTGCACACTTGTTCACCATCATAACCCCAACCTGTAAACAGGGGGAGGTAACTGTATCAAGCATTTTGACAGAATTATGCCCCTTTTTCGACTTAGAATTTACGTTAAAGTTTTTGTAATACCTCAAATATTTTCAAAGTCCATTGACATATGGCTTTAAAATTTTGAACACTTGTTCACCATCATTACCCCAACCTGTAAACAGGAGGAGGTAACTGTATCAAGCATTTTGACAGAATTATGCCCCTTTTTAGCTCGACTATTCGATAAGAATAAGTAGAGCTATTGTAGTCACCCGAGCGTCGGCGTCGGCGTCGGTGTCGGCGTCTGCGTCGGCGTAACCACTTATGTTAAAGTTTTGTAATAGTTTAAATATTTTCAAAGTCCATTGACATATGGCTTTGAAACTTTGCACACTTGTTCACCATCATTACCCCAACCTGTAGAGAGGAGGAGGTAACTCTATCAAGCATTTTGACAGAATTATGCCCCTTTTTCGACTTAGAATTTACGTTAAAGTTTTTGTAATACCTCAAATATTTTCAAAGTCCATTGACATATGGCTTTGAAACTTTGCACACTTGTTCACCATCATGATCCCAACCTGTAAACAGGAGGAGGTAACTGTATCAAGCATTTTGACAGAATTATGCCCCTTTTTCGACTTAGAATTTACGTTAAAGTTTTTGTAATAGTTCAAATATTTTCAAAGTCCATTGACATATGGCTTTGAAACTTTGCACACTTGTTCACCATTATAACCCCAACCTGTAGACAGGAGGAGGTAACTCTATCAAGCATTTTGACAGAATCATGCCCCTTTTTCGACTTAGAATTTACGTTAAAGTTTTTGTAATACCTCAAATATTTTCAAAGTCCATTGACATATGGCTTTGAAACTTTGCACACTTATTCTCCATCATGACCCCAACATATAGACAGGAGGAGGTAACTCTATCAAGCATTTTGACAGAATTATGGCCCTTTTTGGACTTAGAATTTACGTTAAAGTTTTTGTAATACAATGTACCTCAAATATTTTCAAAATTCATTGACATAAGGCTTTGAAACATGTTGAAATTTTATGCTCTTTTTTGAGAGCATAATAGGACTCTCTCCAAGGCCTATAACTGTAATATGGATTTAAAGAAAAATTTTGCCTTTTTCTTTACTTAGAAAATTTTACCTTTTAATCAAGTTTTTTTTTACAATCAAGCACTAAGAATAGTCGAGGGTTGCTGTCCTACTGACAGCTCTTGTTTGAAATGATGGTAGGAAAAGACTAATAGAAATCAATGGTTATTCAACGTGATGACTTTATTAACACACCATTCGCGCGTTTATTGTCATTATTTCTGTTATTCATTCAGTCTAGAAATAGAAATTTATCGCTTATTATGTATAAGCTTACGGGGAGTCCGTGGACGAGAGGTTAAGGTATTTGACATCCAACTATTTGACCGTCACCACTGTTGGCTCTAATGCTATGAGGGACCTTGGATTCTTTTATGTGAGGAAGCTGTCCATCCAGCTTGCGGAACATCTTACTCAGCTGCCCTTGTGCGTGTGTTATAATGCACATAGGGGCACATGAGATCTTCCTTCACAAATAAAGCTGGAAGGTCGTCATATGACCTCTACTGTAATTGTGCGACGTAAAACCAAACAAAAAGTATATTAGCTTAGATAAAGAAAAACGCAAGTCATAAAGGATTTTTGAAGCAAGATTTGATCAATGTAAAACATTTTATCATAGATATAAATTACATACAGCAAGGTAATCAAATCCTAAGCTTAGATGATTTTTAATATAATTTTTGAAATACAGCTCGTTAAAAACGTCAACTAAAGAAGATAATTCATTGGTAAATATATCGATTAAAGTCACACTTAAACCTTGTCATGTCCTTAGATTAAATTCAAACACTGACATTTCACGCAAAAGATACATCTTAAAATGAACTGGTCTAAAATGGACACATTTTTGTATAAGTATTTTTCTTTTAAAACAGGAATGTATCATTTGAATGTACTTGAAAAGAAAATATTGATAAAGTTCTAAATGGTTTTGTATTCGCATTTTTACGATGAATAATAATATTTTATTCTAGATCATCTTAATATCTACTTTACAAATATATGTTATATTGGATCATGTATCTCACACTTGCAAACACCATCAATATAAAATTCTTTCTTTGCTTGTTGTTTTCCCTGATACTAAATTCTATTAATGTATAATTTATTGTATTAAAGACTTTCCATTATAGACCAATTCACTTAAATGTACGTTATGTAATGTAAGAAATTATAGCAACTCATAATGTTCTAATCTGATGGAGAAACTTTATTCCCGCCTGATTTCGGAAATCCTCGGATTACAAACACTGTAAGAGTAAAGAGCACGACCTGAAACGACATACATAATTGTTTCTTGTAAAACTAGACACATCTACTTAACAACAGCAAATAAATATATAGGAGTTCATCAATTCTTAAAAATATATATATATAATATATATATATATATATATATATATATTAAACTATTTCATATAAATGTCCTAAATGGTATTTATGCGTGATTATGTCCATTTAATAAATGCTAGAATTACAGCGACAATCATGTACATTATCCGACATATGCACATAGGCCATCTTAGAATTACTTGCGATAATGTGAGTTTAACTTAACTTGTCGAACCTATCGATTAAAGTGTCATCTTCAACAAACACAGAATAGAATGTCGTACCCAACACGCTAAACTGTCAGTTATTTACATCGTCAAATCGGAAAGGACCACAAAATAATAAAAGAAAAAATACAGCACTGCTTTTTTTGGATACTTTGATTTATATTTGAAATGTTCACCGCTATTTATATATTCTGAATCAATTCCAGAGATTATCATTTGACATTGCCTGTCCAATATGTTAAACATATTTTCATATTTAGGACAGATAAGGCTGTTTGACATTATCTTTGCATGTGTAAAGTTAAATTGATTTAATTAATAGATTACTTTAAGACATTTTCTTTCGAGCGATTTCTTTCCGATGTTAAATGATATGCAACATTCCGAAGTTGCCACCAAAGACAAACTTATAAAAATGCTGGTGCATCCACTTTTATTATTTTCTGTATCGTCGGACATTATTACATATATATGTATATGACAAAAAGTGAATACCTGGAAAACTCCTATTCCTGCGAATAGACCAATGGCCATTCCTTGGTTCTCTTCAATTTTGGCCCAAATAGCTGCATAACAACCTTTCTGTAAGATAAAAAAATAGTCATAAATACACAATTACGAACCATGTAAAAATGTTTCGTTACTTGTTTGGAAAATGATTTGGTTGTTGCAAACACAATCGACATTTGTATGCATGCTTCATCAGAAACGCTCTTGCTTTAAGACATTCAGTATTAACTGTAGAAAGATAACTCTAATACCTGTTCTATCTCCCTATAGATGATAAATTGTTTTGATTTATATGTGCCAAATGTTTAACATTACTGTAATAATGTTTCAAGATGGTGTACTATGTACAAATCTTAATAAATTATTTGTTCTGTTCTGTTGTTATGTTGTCATTTTGATGCACAGTATATTCTACACCTGTAATTAAGTATCTTACTTGTCTTTTTAGCATTTTATTTCCTTTTCTATCTCTATAAATATCAATATACCTAAGGACTGTGAAAACGCACTGTTTGTTTAGGAGTGTATATAACCTAGACACTTATTACATCATTATATTTTTATAAATTTATTTTAGGCACCAATATTTATCAAATTGATTAAGTGATAATGAAATAATCGTATGATAAAAACAGTGCTTGCTCCACAACAATAGAAATAACACTTTTGACTTCTTGTACGAGACGATTGCTGGAACTTCATTGTTCCCAAAGTCGTGCTTTTGTTTTCTATTTTTCTAAACTGTCATATTACTTTCGTAACGGTACTTTTGCTTATAAAATCATTTAACGTTAATTTTTTCTCAATAATTGAGTTCAACGAATGAGTGATTTATGTTGTTATGTTTTCTATGAAATGGGATTTAATATTAAAAGAAATTTTCCAATCTAAGTAGACATCCAAGTGTATATAATTATTAAAAATAATGTTTATAAGTTTACATTTTGTTTATAAACAAAATCTTTTCAGGGCTATAATTAACTCCGCATGAACGATAAATACCTCACGAGATCGTAAATATCCATCGGAATTTAATTGTACAGTTCAATTTACGAAACCAGTGGGGCAGTATTTTAACATTTTAAACAGATTCAAATTTTGCCCCACACATTTGCCAATATCAACTATTGGTCAATCACCATTATAAGAGTCAGTCTTTTGATAATTAGAAAATTAGCATAGTGTCGCTGCAATGTTTTATAAGTTGATATTAGCTACATATTTTATGGAATCTTTTTATATTAATTTTCGTGTAAAAGTCCGTATAAAACAGGTGTTTTCAAAGCTCTTTGTTACTGTTACCTGAATATAATCTACAGAATGTGGCGCCGGTGAAGAGATAATGTCTCGAATAGCCTTCTGCTTATCATTAGCACAAACTATTGGGGCTTTTATTGTTATCGGAGATGTTGACATCGGTGAATGAACCAGATCTTGAAACTTGCTAGGATCCAATTTGTGATCCCATTTTGTCACTTTTTGGAAATCATCTGGACCATCTACGCCGCAGCATTCCAGCTAACATGAAATAGGACAGATCATTAAATTGACAAAAGACAGTGTTTCAGGCATACTCTGCTACAAATATCTTAAACTAAGTTAATATTTCAAAAAAGAACAAAAACATCTGCCATCCAACCTCTCAAATATATATAGTTTTCGCATTTCCAATATGTAATATATATGATAAAAAAAGAGAGTTTGACGCCTTGAAATGTCTTAAAATAGCCCTTTCCCATTAACCATCACTTCTCTTAAATGTCAGCTGCAAGTGTGTTCTTATATATATTGACAGAAAAAAAGATGATTTACAAAATGCTCTTATAAAATGAGTTAAGAGAGTTCGAGTTAACTTTCAAATTTAAAATAATTAAACATTACGAACCAGTCCCATGATAGCATTCCAGGCAAGGGAAATAGCACTACTGGAAGTGCTTCCTTCGTATAACATCAGGGCATCCATCAATGGTTCTTTAATCTTTTCGTCTATCTGAAATAGTAGAAATGCGGGTGAAAGCTCTTTTGCACTAAGTAAAGTAATACGTTTGTTACGAATCGTATTAAAATTTTAATACGAATGACATAAAACATCTTTGGAATTACAAACAAATAATCTATTGTTCAAAACGTTAAGTTTATGTTTAACAAATTTGTTTTTTTAATGTTCTTTATACTCACTATACTTCTGTTTGAGACAAACAAAATGGCGACTGTGGCTTTTAAACCCAGGGAAAATTGCAGTGGAAAAGGGGCCCCCCAAAACTGAAATTAAAGACAGGGAAAAAAGTTTTTTATTAAAAAATAAACAAGCAGTGGTTTAAAATGGTTTATTTTGTAAGCTTTTCAAAAAGGTTTTTTTTAAAAAATGATTAATTTGGGAAAACTCACCCAAAGATTGCATCCATTTTTTAAATTTTTCAGCAAAATTTCCCCAAAAATGCCCCGACAAAAGGTGCGAGAATGGTCACGCCCACTATAATGAACGCAGTTGCCGCACCGCCCACAAATTCGGAAATCTTTATATTCTGAAACGATATTTTAAGACATATAATTCTTCTTTTGCCTACCAACCTTTGACAGTAATTTCAGTAATTTTCAAATCATTTTAACCACTTTCCATTTTTTCTTTTAAAATAAAACAGAAGTGTCAAGTTGTCCATAGTCAGTAAACATACAGAACAAAAGTATAATCAAAAAATGTCATTCAGTTGATTTATCATTCTCTTTTGTCCATGAATCCATAAAATACAAACTGAACTAAAAATAATGGCAAAATATAGTTAGTCTAGAAACACTTTTGGGCAACTACATGTTCAGCATTATTATATTAACTGTACCTATATAGGCATTTCGAAAACGGATGATTTATGATACGAGATTAAAACAGAAGAAACCTCTAATTTGTTTCCAATTTCCTCTGGGAGTTTGGATTGGAATGCTGAGATCAGTTCTTTTCCATACTTGTCCACATAGTCCGTCGCAAATTTCACAAAGAACCCGGCAACAAGTAATGTCAGACCGATCGCCTGCATATTTAATACATGGACTAGATATTATATCTACATCATTCATACAAGAAAATATAGCATACATGCATAAACTCTAACACACTCATTTTAGAGTATGTTTATATATCTCCAATCTGGTGTTACGTGTATGTAAGAGCTTTTTGTTTCAAAATATGTAGTGTTAACTTAAAAAAGCAACACAATTATATACATAATGCATTAAAACACCAAAATTATGAAGTCGAAACATCTTAAATGTCGATCAGAACTTTATGGATTAATTGAATATATATGATATCAATTTATATAAATATAACAAAATCGATAGAATTTTTCTAAATTCATGTATGAAATAAAAAGACGATGACTTATATAAGAATAAAACTAAATGCCAAGCAAAAAATGTATAAGTACTTATATGCTTTAACTTAAAAGTCTATATTTTACAAAATCCGAAGACCTTTTCAAAATACAAATTAATGTAGTATCTACTAAAGCATATTACATGTACTTTTAAGGCAGTGTCACAATTTCGTCTACTTAAACTCTTTTCATTTCTATTCAAATCTGGAGTCTTTTTAAAGATTAACAAGACTGTCAGGGGAGAAAGGTAATACTATTTTTTATCAAACTTACTTACACCAAAGAATGTATTGAGAAGCACTATTATTGTTGATCCATACCTCTTGAGTGCACCCATGATGGTATTACACGATAGAAATAAAATAACACAATACTTTTACACTGATTCCGCCATTTCCTGACAAGAAAAAAATATATAGCTTTACATATATGGACTACAATATTTAAGTATTTATAATATTCTTATTAATTCTTCTAGGTCTTTTTGCATGGCAATACACTTCTAGAAATATGTTCAGACATTTAGGCATGACATCAGTAAGAACATCTTCAAATGATACATATCTTTCTTTATGACCAGTATGTAAATGTTTATATATAGATATTTGATCCGTAAACATGATATGTCATAACGATATTTCATATAAAAAGGTTAATAATTGATCATTAAAGAAGCACGCCTCCAGATTCATGCTAATTTTCATGAAAATTTGAAATTGTATTTAGAAAGACAATATTGTGAAGTATCCAAAAAGAAGCAATTTACACTCAGAGTCCACGTCAATTGCCAAAATGAGGTCAAGATATTCAAAATTAAAGCTTTAGAAATATTGTTATAATTACTGAAAAGCAATTCCTGAAAATCAATTACATGACAAGTAAATTATTACTTAATTCTTGCATCTTTTTACTTTTCTAAGATCTTAGTACATTTTTCTCAGGTTTGATCTTATTGAAATATTTAGGACCATCTGTTAAGATTGAACATCGGAAGTCGCATCTTTTATTTATTTAATTATTTATTTAGATAAAAAGTAAATACGTTTCATTTGATTAGCATAAAGAGTATAATGTATACTTAGAAAAAAATTGTTTGCGCAAGCAATTTATTTATTTTCATAAATATACAAATTTTCAATATAATTTTGTACTTAATTAATTATTGTTGATAAATAATGTATAAAAATACTCAAATAATCCGGTTATTGTTGGTAAAACAAAACAAAAATAAAATGACGGTATCCGTTTAAATTTCAACAGTCAAATGGGGGAAGTTGAAATTATTTTCATCTAATATTTAACTAATCGGTCCTATATCATACATCGACTTATACAAGCTTTTCCCTTGTTTTTTTATTGATTTTAACAAATCCTTTTATCTTTTTCGGTCACAAATTTAGAAAATTCACTAATCCGGCCACAGGATGATACATAGGTTGTCCTTCACTAATACCATTATCTATCAATACTGTTGATAACTTAATGTGGTTATTTTTTAAATCAATATGAACGACTTAAAGTAAATAATCGTTTAGTTTTGATCGGCGTGAGCGAGGCTTCTCATATTCATTAAGAAGGACCTAAATTCTTGTTTGAGTTTAAAAATAAGTTTACATTTTGAGTTTTATCCTATGCTAGTAATCGACTTTGCAACAGTCAGTTGTAACCCCGCCTTACATCATAGGGACTGTGAGGGAGTAAGTTAGAGAAATTATGAACAAACTTCCACCATGCCAGCATTACCGACATTTAGTGGGTATTTCACAATCTTAATGTCCCAGCATGCGGTCTTGTTTTCACCGGTGCATTTCAATGGTCAGATAGCTACCCGATATTCCTAGGGAGCGGCAAACGTGGTTTCTTTAGACCAGTGCACTTTATAACGTACGTTCATCAATATTTCATGTTATATGTGTTAGAACAATATTTGTACAGTCTTTACTAAGGTCGACGACGACGATGATGATAATAAAAACAGCATCATTAAATTATAAATTTAAACGTATCGATGGTTATTTCGATCATACGAAATGCTTCATATTGTATTTGTGGAAATAATTATAACGTACATGTTTGTATATATAAACAAGTTCTACATTTCCCCTCCTTATCCGAAAGGGGAAGCATTCAATACTAGCCGTGTGCTAAGATAATAAATGTTCTCTCTCTTGTTATAGTGTAGGTAACAGTATATTTATCTATATTATGTTTTATCCACCAATAGTTTTACAGGTTTTTTATTCTACGATAGTTACTGAATGACAAGGGATGATATTTATATATATTTTGTGGAAAAAAAATTCAAACCGTTAGATCTATACAGAAAAGGACTAGAGGTCATTTTTAAAGATACATTTTTTTATTTACTTTCCTTACATTCGTCTAAGGGAACTTTTATCATATACATTATACATGCACAGTGCGTTAATTGGAGTGCAGGTATTAGTTACCCGCACTCCAGAGCTAGCCCATTTATTGGCGGTTTACTTATAATGACGACAGAGAAAGGGATAGCAATAGTAATATCATATTGACCCTTTCGCTGCCAGAGGGTTATTGTTTTATTGACTTAGGGTTTTCTAAAAAATTACTATATTATTAATTAATATAATTATTATTATCATTTGTTATTAGTATTATAATAATTATATATGTTTCCAAATATGCTTGTATAATAATAATTATTGTCGATGGTATAATTTTCTTTATAGTTATTATTATTTTTATTATTAATTTATTATTATTATTATTATTATGATTATTATTATTATTATTATTATTATTATTATTATTATTATTAAAGAAACAGCAAAGGCCGTCCATATGGCAAATACGCCGAAAATAACAGGGACGGCATAAGTCGTCCCTATGGCAGTGAAAGGTTAAGATGCTCGTTCGTTAATTACCCTTCTCTGGGATTTCATAGTGTGACAACGGGGAACGTGTTTTTATTTTTGCCTATGATACAAAAGAGTAGGAACATCAAACACTCGGCAATCTGATTTATACTTGGAGATATATCAGATAGTCTCGTGTTTCGATGCTCTCTCTATTACTTTTCTTTTTGACATTTCTAAAAGTAAGATTGCCAACACGTGCAGCTTAGGGGCATAGAGAAAAGGGAAAGTTTATTGAAACAAAATATTATAAAACAACATCACTTAATGGATTTGTCTAGGAGAATATATTCATGTACCAATGACCCGTTCACTCATTTAGCGTTTTGTATAAACAACATTGCACGAAATAACATTTACATTATACTAGTAGCACATAAAATAAACTAAGCAAAATTTGTTGAAAAAAACCTTAGACTATTGTTCATGGACAATATGGAAATAAAAATTATAGTTAAAAAAACAACAACAAAGCTCCGCTATAAGAACTTGATAAAGACATTTGATATTTCATATTTCGTCAATGGTCTTAAATACCATACCAAGCGTATTTATAACACGTAACATCCTAGTTAAATGAAAATGTTGCCAATTTCAATGCTGAGCAAAAAGGTTACATTTTTGAAGTGTTTAATTAAGGTATGTCTGAAAGCCTACAAAACTTTACCATACCAGCGCAATGGATTGCCTGAACAAGTGGTAAACAGGTGTTTTTTTATCCTCGGATTGGCTATGACTAGTAGATGATCCCAGTTAATTTTGGAGTTAGTCAAAACTACAAAACGCATTATGACGGTACAAGGGTATCAATTTGTCTGCGTGGACTTACTACAAAAAGCTTGCCTGACTAATACCGGTAACTAGAGAACGATGGAAAAGACTAGGAAATTACAATGTATCTCTATTTATTTTGAATTTGTCTCTTAATCTCAAAGTTACCATAGCCTGAATCACAAAAAGCTTTAAGCCACTATACTAATAAGAAAAGGACATTTTGGCCTACTGTCCTAAGACTCGTATTCAGAAACTATACATAATCTCAATCTCAACTCAAACTCGCGAAAGGTCTCCTAAAGTGACGCTGGAAGGGACTAACGATAATTAAACTTGTTCTATAAAATAGTGTACAATGTATTTCACAGAAGTGGAAAAGAAAATTGTCAAAAGAATTAGTTAATAAAAATCTGAATGTAAATGAAAAAAATGATGTTTTTTTAATATTTCAAAAACAATTATTTGTTTATAACATAAACATTTACATATTCAAACGCAGACGACAAATCACGTAAGATCATCGATCATCGGAAACAACATGGACGGTCACATTGAGAAACATAGCAGCAGCTGTATCCATTAATAAGAGAAAAATGCAGTGGAGTAACCAAAGCCAAGCGTAGCAAACAAAGGAAGACAAATTCATTATAGGCTTACTTAGATTCAGCAAAGTTTGGACTACTTAAAACAAAGCTTTTACACTGATTTATATTTAAATATCCTTTAAGATACAAGTATGAAGAAATTTGCATCACTGACTTTGACATAGGAAACGTTTTATATTTCAATTTAAAGCATACATTTCAAACAGAATAGACGCTTGACATTTCCTTTTACGAACGTGTTTATTATTGCAATAAATCACATATCATGATTGGCAAAAACGCATGAAAATATTACAATATCTTTAATATTTTAGGTCTAAGGTCGTAAAAACAAAGAGCATGAAAAGGGAATGGAGCTTTTAAACATAAAGGTTAGAAATGAGCAAGAGGGACTCAAGTGTGCATTTTCAATTGATAATATGATGTCCTAGAAAAATTAAATCAGCAAATTGTTTTGAATATCACATTTTTCACTTTGAAATGAACCTGTCGCGTAAAACCTTAAAGCTCTCAGAAATTGTAAAATAGGCGGTAGCTGAATGCTCTTTTAATGATTCATCTATCAGTCCATATATAAATTGTGCACACTTCTTCATAAATCGTAATTTCTGATAACAATCAAATCCATTTAAATGTACATGAATACGGGGTAAAACTGATTCAAACCTAAGTGGCAGTAAGTACGATTGTTTTGATAACAATTCTAGATTGCCCCCTACTAACCACACACATTCTCACCAAACTGTCTGTATAATCTGAATACCAGAACAGAAAAGAAACTTTATTTCTTGGTTTAAGCATAAAAAGCTCATCACCATATTACATATCCAAATACAACATATTGTTACGCTACGGTCCAGCTATATGGTACCAGGCCCCTTTAATCCTCTTAAAAATGTGGTAACGTGCTCAAGACTTGGCGACCAATAATCGTACTGGACTGTAGAGAACGATATTGTATTTACGAACAATGAAACGATCACAAATATAACAATGTTCTATATAAAATAGAAATTGTTAGGGTTAGGGGGACTGTTGATACTTGATTCGGATGACTGTCAAAGTCTATATAGATCTATTTGGCTGAAATATGCTATTACGACATCTGTCAATAGTGGGCTACTCTGTATGACTCTGTATGGCTAGGACACTGTACTCCACAGTACTTGATAACACTTCCTTACTTCTGGAGGTACGCCAGTTTAAGATTAAAATTGAGTCACAAAGAAGAAAGACTGTTCACAGTTTACTAATTTTAATTAGTGTTAAACTGTTAATAAATTAAATTGTCAAATATTCAAATAACAGTATTGTAATTAACATCAACACATGTATATAATTCAGTCTCAAATATCCGATAGCTATGTCTTACATAGACTTCACATATATTATTACCGCGACTGCCGTTTAATTTCTATTCAAAATATGACAACGTAAATATAAAGTTTGGTCGAGTCAGTGACCGAATTAATGTGTAACAAAAATGATAAAGTTCTTATCAATTATTCTTAGACAATAATTGATTAAATGTAAAATAATAATCTAAAGACTACGTTTTATTTTGCCTTAAAAATAAGTAAAATTTGCCGTTCAGAAGAACACGACATTAATGTAGACTAACCGAAAGTTAAATGAAAACTGACTGAAGTTGATCGTTTTCTGGCCTATTTATACCAAATCTGAGAAAACGAACATAAGAAGGTTCGAAAAATGTTCAACTGTACGTTTTGGTCGGTTGACAATGTTCGACGTTCGAAAACTGAACATTTGACGTTCGGAAACGATCAATTCCATACACAAAGAACGCTGTCAACCAACCGAACGTCCGAACATCAACAATTCTTAGCTAAAGTTCTATGAAACTTTACATAAAAATACGATAAATTGATACATATAATATTTATAAAAATGACTAGTACCATGGATTGACTATAAGTTTGTTGCTTTTGATGAAACATAACTTTGAAACGGTTTGTTTACTGAGTTTAGGCAGCAATTGCTATTGACAACGGAAGTCACACAACCCATAATGCATCAGCGAACAACAACAACACCTGTCAAAGTTTATCGAGTAAAATTACGATAAATGCTACTTTCTAGCTAAATGTACGCTGATTATAAGAAAATATGTAAACAATTAATGAAATAAATCATTACTCTTTATAATTCTGACATAATTTATAGTTGTCAGTCTCTCAAATTAACAAATGAAGCGTTTATCGGTACATGTAAAATGTAAACAATGTCGATAATGACGTACGACCTGAGTAAACAAATGAGATTATATCATTACCCCCCTCTTATTAAGGCAAAGCTCCTGCTGCCTTCTTACAATAACAAAAATAATGAAGTTTATGCACCTTTAACATAATCATCACAAAACTCGGGCATTGACCTTTAAGACTAATAATGTAGGGAAGCTCCGTTTAAAGTAAAAGTACTATCTTAAGCATATGAAACACAGATAATGAAAATTATGCATCTTATGTATAGACACATTTAAACAGTTTATGCACATTTCACTTTCATTAATTAATAACAGTCTTAAATAGTCATTCAAATGTTATACACAGTGTTCATCAATAATAATAATAATGATTAAGTATTATAAATAGCACCAAGTTCAATGTCAATGTCTATAGTCCATGTTCCATGTTTACACTTCTCACAATTTTATATTTCAATATGTTTCACTTTTAAATGTACAGTCTATATTTTTTTTAGATATTCATAATAATTCGATTCACTAGTTCATTGTCTATGTTGTAGATATCCATGTAATAGTAATTATCACAGTAGTAATTAGCACTTTTTAATTAATTAAATGTTTGTCACTATTTCACAAAATAAAATATCACTTCCAATGTCATTTTGTTTGTTGTTGATTTAATATATATATGTATGTTTTATGCTCAACGGCTTAACACTGTCAAAACACATGTGAATAAAACGTTAGTCACACTTAAAAAATAAAGTGGCACAATGTCACATAGTTAATATTGTATCTAAGTCCCTTTTGAAGAGTGACGTCTCTTAGTTATGTACAGTTCATTTACGTTATTGTGTTCATACTTTTTTAACGACGCTTTTTAGTGGCATATTTTCTTTTCCTTTGTTTGTATTTTTACTTTCAGTGCTTGGAGAATTCTCCTTGTTTCGTGACCGTTCCATCTGGGTGATTTTTCTTTCTATTCGGGCTAATTCGTTCACTATTTTTTCTTGTGTCTTTTCTTGACAGCGGATGGCCCGTGTGTTGCTGTTTATTGCCTCCACAATATTCTTCATTCCTTCCACAGTAGCAGAGGCTATAGCCTGCAGTGTACTGGCGATCTGGCTAGATTCTTCCTCCAACCTAGGTCGCTTCCTAGGTGGTTCCTCTTCACTGCCATCAACGTCTGTCTGGGTTTGGATGGATGTCATAGCGGGTCCTCTAGTTACATCTTGGGCCTCGCGCAGTAGGGGATCATCCTGGTTTAAACTCAGTAACCCCGGCAGTAGGTCTTCTGTACCTCTCTCGTCCAGGCATGGGGTGCTTACTGAGCCAGGTGATCGGCGCCTGAGAATTGGGGTGCTTAGATGCCCTACAGTATCCAGTGTTGGTGGAACAGGTGCTGTAGGTGGAGGTGTATTGATCCTTCCAAATACACTAGCCAGGTCTCTGGCATCAATGGTGATCAGATCGCTTGTCTTCTGTGACTGACTTTGGAAAGTCCCCATAGGTGTACTCAGGTTTGGGAACTCTGGTCTTAGATTTGCTGATGGCATTACCGGCAGGGGCACTGTCAAGCCTGACTGTGGTGGTTGGCGACCAAGGTCTGATTGAATGGTGGCGGAAGCCTGTCTGCTTGGCGCAATCCATTGCGGCATCACCAGTCCATCCACCATTGTAGTCTCATCGTCATCAGCAAAAAGACCATCAGGGTCGTTCAGTGGGTCCTCCTGATTCATTGTATGACGTGCGTGCCACCTCAACGACTCTTCTTTACTAAGGACCACCATGTCACGGTCTCCTACATATATAGGGTTAGCTGCCCTCTTCAGCACCTGGGTGTAGTCAGGGGTCCCTGACTTGACTTCCTCATCTCTGTGGCGCCTATACTTCTTGATATGAGCTACCAAGGTTTCCCGGTCCTCACACCTGAAACTGCACAAGGTGCAGTAGAACGGCACCCTATCCATGGGAATATGGGTCTTCAATACATGGCCCACCATTCGACTCTTCCTTTCTATTTTGTTACAATGTGTGCACCTGTACGCCCTTCCTCGGTTTTGAAATTGTGAGAACATTCTCTGGAATTATAAAAAGAAACTTTGAGTCATCCCATAAAGTATACCTATATAATATGTTTGGTCACTGACTCATTAAGGTTACTCCGCGGTACATCTTACTCCGTGGTACGTATTACCTATCCGACAACGATATTAATCCGGGATTTAGCCGTTACCCATTAATTTCCAGTTATCGTCGTTTTCATTGGCTGAGAAGTAAATGTAAACATTGCAGACAGCATCAGCTGTTAATTAAACTTTACAAAACGTGTTAAATCATTCAAATGAGGAGCATTTTGTGCTATTACACTGTAAGTTACCATTTGTCTTTACAAACGTTCGATAAGATTGAACTTCATACGGTTATAGTAATAAATTTGCGGGTCAAACCGTTTAAAACGCATTGTTACAAATAAAAGTTTTACTCGTTTCGTACACAAATTTTCTCGAATCATTGTTTGATTACTCCACAAACTGCACAATATAATAATCGTTTGTTTAAATACAGTTTATTCACACAAAAATAGAATAAATGTTCACATCAGCAATTAATGTTACACATGTTACACAGTTTTTAATGTACATAAATTACAGTTTCTTTTAACAATATATGCATACACAGACAATTGATTGTCAACAAATTTAATTCTTCTTAATGAGATTTGCTGCGCGAGTCACCCATTTAGGAGGGTTTTTTCCTTCATATAACTTAAGTTTATTATGGTGGACTGTACGCTTAGTTCCATCTTTGTCAAACTGCACTACAAAACTAATTGGCGAAAATTTCTCTACAATAAGATAAGGTCCATCATAAGCTTTCTCTAACTTGGGAGTCACTCCTACTTTTCTTGTTTCATGCAGGCACCAGACGATGTCACCTACTTCATATCTATGGAAGGACAACTTGGCATCGTAAATATCTTTACTTCGTTTACCACTTGACAAGAGGTGTTCTCTCGCCACATCATGTGCTCGCAACATTTTGGTTCTTAATTGCTGGACATACCGGTTCTCATTGATAACCTCTTTGGACATGGCATTCGCATGATTGAACATCAAGTCTGCAGGCATTCTAATCTCGCGACCAAGACAAAGGAGATTTGGGGAAAGGTTTGTCGCTTCATTTGGTGTACATCTGTAGGCACCAGCCAAACATCCTAAGTTAAGGTCCCAATCTTCTATAGCATCTTTTTCTGCTTGTAGGCAACTCTTCTAATGCGACATAGATTACTTCCTTCACTCGCATTCTCTTCTTGAGCTATTACACTCGACCACTCTTTCGATTCTTTCTGCTCTACCGATTACAGCATCTTGTCTTAATAATACATCACAAGAAAAAGGATTAAGAACACGAACTTTGCATGTAACGCCATTATTGATATTCACAAGGGAGGTAGCCATTAATAACCTATACCTCTCTTTGAAACTATCAGTTGCCTCTATAATAAATTCAGCACACTGATTATTGTCGTCAGCTTCTGATCTCTTTACAAAAACATCAACCAGTGCCTCGGACTGGCCAGGAATAGTTAAATTTTCAGCCACTACAACCTTTCTTGCTGCCTCACCCCTCCCTACCTGGAAGCATGGAATCTCAACCCCATCCAGAACTATTTTGTCTTCACTCAACAAAATATCTGCTGCCCCATTTTCACCACATCCCAACACATCATATCCTAGCAAGACGTCATCCTCAATTTCAGCTACCTTAGCTTCCTTGACGACTTCTAGAGTACCCAGTGTCATTGTGAATAGGGCTTCTCCCCAGTCAACTATGGGTTTTCCATTTGCAGCTCTTAAGCTTGTAGTTTTCCTCAACTTTGGTTTAACTTCTTCCTTGATTTTATTGTAAATACGCGATGAAATCAGAGTTCTTGACGCACCAGTATCCGCAGTGAATACTACAGGTATGTCTTCAACAAATCCTTTTAAATATATACCGGCATATAAACGATTAACATTGTTAGAGTTAGAAAAGGAATCTTTATCAAGTTCAGTAAATTCTGGTTCATCAGTTATCTGCCCTTGGTCATTTTTTTCTACTGGGACCTCTCTTTGGGCACAAGAGTTGGTCCGTTGAAGTTTAAAGTTTCAGTATCTCGAGCCCATTTATTCTCTTGTTGATTCTGGTTATAGGACTTATTTCTTTGCATTAGTCTTTCGGGGCAGTCTCTAGCAAAGTGCCCAATCTTGTGACATTGAAAACACTCTACAGCTCTTTTTCCTCTAATTTGTTTATCTACTTTAGGCTCATTGGCTTTAGTTTGCTCTAATCTGTTAAGTCTCTGTAATATATCAGACATATTATATTCCTGGTTGTTTTCATTCTGTTTTCCATGGTTTTCTCTTTTATGATTTGCAAATTTCGTAAAGGTATTGGGAAAGTGTTCCCTTCTTTGATTTCTCTGCTCGTTGCTTTTGTGAGGGTCTGCTTCTGCTAAGACATCATCTTCATCACAAGCTCTCCTAGTGCTATTACGGTGTCTCCGCAAACTTCTGGTCTGTTCAAGATTTACTACATGGAACACAGCATCATCAATCGTCTCAGGCTCCTTATGATATTCTACTTCATAGCATACTTCATCATCACGCAAACCATCTAAGAATCTACGCACAAGATCATCTTCACGAGTTTTCCTATCTCGAAAACCATGGGCTTTATCATATAAAACCTTCAATTCAGCTGCGAACTCCTCTGCGGTTTCACCTACTCTCTGGTTTCTTTTACTAAATTTGACTGCGAAAGATCTAGGGGTTTCGATAACCCTATACCTGTTATTCAACTCATCTATTAACCTTCTGTAATTTAATAAAATGTTAGGCTGTAGCTGTGTGAACACAAACTCTGCGGCTTGTCCTTCAATACGTGGCAATATTTGATCTAACCTTGTCTCATCTGACCATCCGTAACGCTGAGCTATAGCTTCAAATCTGGCTATCCATACCTTCCATTCTTCTTTACCAGTAAACGGTGCTACTTTAAAATGTGTACCTTCATTTCTATTGTTGGCACTGTACCTTGACACAGGATAATGAGTGTAACTACTGTCATCATAATTGCCGGTTACACGGGGTGGCTGTTCATACCTATCCGATACAACATTTGCATTACCGGTTATACGGGGTGGTGACTGAAAATTCACATATTGGTCTCTATTAGAACCAGATACACGGGCTGTTAGAACGTCTATTTTGGTCATCTTGAGGGATATTTACATCAGGTTGATAATTACCAGATTGTACATGAAATCTTGAATTAATAACAGGGTCATGTGTACTTTGACATTCTTGCCAATTTCTTCTATACATGTGTGGGAGTCTACCATAAGGGGGTACATCATCAAATCTGTGGTTGTTTGAGTTCAAATCAACTTCATTAGCTTTATTACTATTGCCATTATTGAAACCTAAAGGTTGACATTGAGACTGTTTCAAACTTCTCAGTTCAGTGACTACATCTTTTAAAACACCAGTTATACTGCTAAGGACTTCCTTCACATTATTTGTTTCAGGTGTACTTTGTAAGGTTGGTGATGTGTTTACACCAACATCTTCATGATCACTCATCATATGTGATAGGACTGACATGTTATCATCTTCACTTTCATGACTTTGCCCTGCCTCATCATTTGGGTTGAAAAATATGGTATGGTCACTATTGACTGCTTGTACTGTATTCATCTTGGCGTCTAAAGTCCCACTAATAAAGCTTGGATTCGTATCACTGGATTTGATGTTTGATTATCAAATCCCACCGCTGCCACCATTAAATGTTACGCTACGGTCCAGCTATATGGTACCAGGCCCCTTTAATCCTCTTAAAAATGTGGTAACGTGCTCAAGACTTGGTGACCAATAATCGTACTGGACTGTAGAGAACGATATTGTATTTACGAACAATGAAACGATCACAAATATAACAATGTTCTATATAAAATAGAAATTGTTAGGGTTAGGGGGACTGTTGATACTTGATTCGGATGACTGTCAAAGTCTATATAGATCTATTTGGCTGAAATATGCTATTATGACATCTGTCAATAGTGGGCTACTCTGTATGACTCTGTATGGCTAGGACACTGTACTCTACAGTACTTGATAACACTTCCTTACTTCTGGAGGTACGCCAGTTTAAGATTAAAATTGAGTCACAAAGAAGAAAGACTGTTCACAGTTTACTAATTTTAATTAGTGTTAAACTGTTAATAAATTCAATTGTCAAATATTCAAATAACAGTATTGTAAATAACATCAACACACGTATATAATTCAGTCCTAAATATCCGAGAGCTATGTCTTACATAGACTTCACATAAAATTATTACCGCGACTGCCGTTTAATTTCTGTTCAAAAATATGACAACGTAAATATAAAGTTTGGTCGAGCCAGTGACCGTATTAATGTGTAACAAAAATGATAAAGTTCTTATCAATTATTCTTAGACAATAATTGATTAAATGTAAAATAATAATCTAAAGACTCTGTTTTATTTTGCCTTAAAAATAAGTAAAATCTGCCGTTCAGAAGAACACGACAATAATGTAGACTAACCGAAAGTTAAATGAAAACTGACTGAAGTTGATCGTTTTCTGGCCTATTTATACCAAATCTGAGAAAACGAACATAAAAAGGTTCGAAAAATGTTCAACTGTACGTTTTGGTCGGTTGACAATGTTCGACGTTCGAAAACTGAACATTTGACGTTCGGAAACGATCAATTCCATACAAAATGAACGCTGTCAACCAACCGAACGTCCGAACATCAACAATTCTTAGCTAAAGTTCTATGAAACTTTACATAAAAATACGATAAATTGATACATATAATATTTATAAAAATGACTAGTACCATGGATTGACTATAAGTCTGTTGCTTTTGATGAAACATAACTTTGAAACAATTTGTTTACTGAGTTTAGGCAGCAATTGCTATTGACAACGGAAGTCACACAACCCATAATGCATCAGCGAACAACAACAACACCTGTCAAAGTTTACCGAGTAAAATTACGATAAATGCTACTTTCCAGCTAAATGTACGCTGATTATAAGAAAATATGTAAACAATTAATGAAATAAATCATTTCTCTTTATAATTCTGACATTATTTATAGTTGTCAGTCTCTCAAATTAACAAATGAAGCGTTTATCGGTACATGTAAAATGTAAACAATGTCGATAATGACGTACGACCTGAGTAAACAAATGAGATTATATCATTATAATACATAAATGACATATGACATGAACATATATAATTGCAAAATAATGGTTTATGTAATGTGAGAATGTTTAATGAGATAAGAAATTACTTTAAAAAAATTGTATATAATACACAAGAATTGGTCTATCTTTACCTAACATTATCAATTTAAGCTACAATACATTTTCTTTTATGTTTGAGAAATTCGTTAATGTTCATCAATAGAATCCACAAAAAAGAAAATTCGCAGTTTTGTGACAAATGAAGGGGAATAACTTAGGTATACATAACCAGTATTAACATTTACTTCCCCTTATTAATTCATGAATTCATTTCTGTATGATAAATGAATACCTTTACTGATTTTGTATGTTTTTTTAAATAAAGAAAAACCCACACAAAACAGACAAATAACCAAAACAAAGAAAACTAGACTTAATTATAAAGATTAGTTTTGTATAATCTGAATACCACTTTACTGAAAAGTTGATGACTGTCTTGACCATTAGGCAATTATATGGGATTTACTTATTACACCTTTTGTAATTATAACAACTGTTAGAATTTCACCTGGCGGGTATTCATTTTATTTACACTGTCTTTTTATAGGAACATGGTGAGGTTTGATGCGCCATTAACCGGTTTAAACTCCCCAGCATAACTTATGCTGCTGACCGTTCCAAGGCGGCGCCACTCAGATGTATGTATTTGTTGTTTTGTACTATTAAGGTGTTTACACTTTTAAGTCTAAGGTAAGTATCTTCCTTTTTGCCCCTAGGTTTATTTTTCCGGTTTCCTTGTGTCCCCTTTTTACTTTGTGGGCCTATTAATCAATCAAGTGTATTTAATTTCCTTGTCGGTTAATATTATTTCCTTTTATGTATTATTAGAGTGATAATCATGTCCGTGCTTTGCCTTGTGACCTGTCCTGTTTTGTTTGTGGTCATCCTTGGCTCCTTATTCCTTGGTCGTGTGTGTTACGTTTATTGAACGCCACCTTTCCTTGTTGATCTTGTTTATCATATTTTACTCAATAGAGTGAGTGAAAGTATCGATTCAGAATACGGGCTGGAGGTTTATCACCCCTTTTGATTTAAGGCCTGGCTGTCAGCAACGCATTTCAATGAGCCTTAAATATAAATATCAACGTTGTCATATTTGAATAGTTCTTCTCTTCAAGACATTTACAAATGAAAAGTCCGTGTAACATAAAAAAGGTGTTTCAAGTGTGGAGGAGGGAGCATACATCTTTTACAAACATGCCATGTCTTTGAAAGTTTCTGTTTAATAACTAAGCAATCATATATTGGATGACACTGTCAAACAACATCGGCTAGACCACGTTAAGAATTATTTTTGTAATTTTTATAATGCAGTCGTTTCAGAGGACAAAAGTCACATTTATTTCCATGAAAAAAATCATTGCAAAAGTTTTAAAAAAAATAACTCAACAGCTACATGATTGAGACATATATTTTATTATTTAACTTAGAAAATACAAAAGACATAAACACGATTATTTTTTTTTATTTATTTCTTATTATTGTGTAGTCTGATAAGTTTATCAAATTAAAATATTGGTTTGCAATTATCTACATAAATTTGATATTTTTCATTATTTAAACTTATTGATCCTTAATCCATTTCGAAGTAGTCTTTTCAGCGATATAGGGCTTTCATACTATTCTTGTTATGAAATCTTGCCAGACAGTGTAATTTCTCTTCTGAAATAATTTTCATCAAACTGTGTAAATAATTAAGATATAATTCATTTGCTTTTGACATTTTAAGGCTAGTATTAGGTTTCCGTAATCAAAAGAAGTCTATAAAGAGAGCCTTTTAAGAAATATTCTAGGTATAAAATATAAATGATACTTAGTAATTTGACCTTTACTGATATAAACACATAAGGGTTGATCTTGATCTAGTTACTAGACAAGTATTTAACATTCACTCCTAACGTCGGAAATAGCAGACATGAAAACCCCGTTTTTGTCTTTAAATCATTGGACAACATTGGACACTATTTAATATGATAAAATATTTCGCTGTGTACATGTGCTTTCAGAGTTTTAAAATCATATTTTACTCAATAGAGTGAGTGAAAGTATCGATTAAGAAAACGGGCCTAAGATATTGAGGCTTGTCACCCCTTTTGGTTTTAGGTCAGTCTGTCAATGGTCAGGGTCACGATGACCTTAGTTAATCAATTTCAATGCTATGGTTATCTTTGCGCTTTATGGAAAAAAAACTTCTTTTCATAGAAAATATATGTTTAATTACAGAACTAAATATGCCTCTGTAATATCTTGCAATTGATTGCAACAAAGCTGTAATCATATCTAAGATTTACTTACGTTTAGTCACCAACGTATTTCAATGAGCCTAGAATATCAAGATCAACATTGCCATAGTGTTACAGTTTAATCTTACTCTTAAAATCTTTACAAATGAACATTCATGTAATATAAGAAGTTTGTGATAAGTGTGGGTGTGGGGACATACATCTTTTACAAACATATCATGTTCTTGAAAAGTTCTGAATAATTACTAAGCAGTCATATATTGGTTGACACTGTCAAACATCGACTAGACCACGTTAAGAATTATTTTTATTGCATTTATATAATTCAGTCGTTTTAGAGGACAAAAGTCACATTTATTTCAATGAGAAGATTAATTGTAAAAGTTAAAAAATAATAACTAAACAACTACTAGTACATGATAGTGACACAAATCTTATTATTTGACATAGTAATTACAATAAGCATAAACACGAATTATTATTTTGCTGGGCTACTTGCTGTAATTATTTTGTAGTAAAAAGTTTTTTTTATATGATATAGAAAAAGTAAAAATATAAAGTAGAGCTGCAAAGAATTATTTTAATCAATTAAAGATGCAATTATCATACTGGGTGTCTTATATATAAGGCTTGTAAACGAGTTATAACGCTTATAGACGAAACAAGAGACTTCTTACATATTCGTGTTTTTATGATAAAGGCTACTGACTTCGAACGTTGCTGTTGGTTCTAATCCTGCAACATGTGCAAGGGACTTTGGATTTCTGCCTGTTAAATGGTTATCTAGTTAGCTTAATGAACGTCGACGATGCTACTCATGTGTCCGCTCATCCCTTAAATAATGCACGGCGGGGCACCTGGGTCTTTCTCCGACGGTAAAGCTGGAAAGTCGCCATATGACTTCAAACAATTAAATTCACAATAAAAGATCTGTGCCAAATAAGGCCAATTCCTTACATAAACATCATATACATCATGGTTAAATGACGTTTTGATACAGTGGTATACAATACCATTGCTACTTCTTTGACATCTTTTTAAATTAAATATAAACACATGTTGCAGGTCAATAAATGATGATGCAATTGATAAGTAAGTATTTCATACATTATAATATGAGCAATGTCACGACAAATGCAACATAATGGGTTTGCGATCTGCATAGATCCAGACCAGCCTGCGCATCTGCGCAGTCTGATCAGGATCCATGCTGTTGCTTATCAACTCTACTTACAAGTAGAGAAACTGATATCAAACAGCATAGATCCTGATCAGAGTGCGCGGAGGCGCAGGCTGGTCCTGATCCATGCTGATCGCAAACGCGCTATGTTGGTTTTGTCGTGACGCGGCTCAATTATGTATTATGCATGTGTAATTGTTTCAGTATAAGTAAATGGAAATTGTATTCATACCATCTAGAGTGTTTGTCAAAACATATTCTTTTTTTTTGTTCTTTTTTATAGTGTGTTGTTGTCTTTGTAATTCATCAGAAGTCTATATGTAAAATTAACATGTGTTTTTTGTATTCAGAACGATGTACATTCCCCCTAAAAATAGAGATATTTATTAAACTTATTGATCCTTAAACCATTTTGTAGCAGTCTTTTCAGCGATTTTGGACTTTCACTTACAGATATTGTTATGAAATCTTGCCAGACAGTATAATTGCATGTCCATTTCTCAATCTCCTGAAATGGTTTTCCTCAAACTATGTAAATAATTAAGGTATAGATTATTTGCTTTTGACATTTGAAGGCTTACATATTAGGTTTCCAAAATCGAAAGAAGTCAATAAAGGAAGCCTTCTAAAGAAATATTCTATGTATTAATTACAAGTATCTCTATAATTGAGACTTAGTAATTTGACCGTTAGCAAACAGAAAAAAACAATTTACACCTGGCATATAAACACACAAAGGTTGATCTGGTTACTAGACAAGTATTTAACATTAACATTGTCATCTAACATCGAAATTAGCAGACATAAAAACGGTTTGTCTCTTAATCATTGGACAACATCGAACACTATTTATTATGATAAAACATTACGCTGTGTGGTATTAAAGTCGATTGCGCTTAGACGAGGAGAGCAATAATTTCGCTAAAAAGATCAAAGAATCAGAATCTGGAGCAGGTATGATCCCCAGAGAGAAGATAAGTAACAGGGTTAGGATTGTCAGAAAATACACCAATCCCAAAATCTACAGGATTGTGCACATTACACAATGTCATACATACTGCGGAAAATTTTTATATTTGACTTCTAGATGTGACCTTGACATACTGAACTAGTTTGAACTGCTTCCTAGTACGGTAAACATCTATGCCAAATATTATCAAAATCTTTCTGCGCATGTATAAAATATGCTGCATAATAATTTTCCTTGAAGACATCGAGTACTTGGTAATGGTCATTAGACTGTATCTTTTTGTACATATTTACACATCATTTTGTGTTTTATCTATTTCGTTTTATTTATTTCGTCTAATGTAACCATGACCAATTTCATTTTCAGTTTATATTAAACCAAGGCATATTATATGCAACTGGTTATAACAAACAAACAAACAAACAAATAGAAAATTAACTGTCAAAAACCACTAGTATCGCAATAAAAAAATACAATTATGACTAGCTCAATAAACAAAAAGAAGATCATATTGTTCATTTCAATTACTGAATTCAATACAACATGTATTTGACAATGT